ATATATATATTTAATTATTATTTAAAATTTAAAAAAAAATTATTTTAATTTTTTAATTTATTATAAATATTTTATATTTTATTTATTTTTTAAATATATTATAAATATATTTTATATATTAATTAAATTTAAATTAATATTATAATTTTAATTATATTTTATAATATTTTAATAAAGTATTTATTGTATATATTTATTTATATTATAATAGTAATTAAATATAAAATATTAATTATATAAAATTTAATTATTAATTTATTTTAATTTTTAATTTAATATTTTAATATTTTAATTATATAATTATATTTTTTTATTAATTATAAAATTATTTTAATTTAAAAAATTTATATTATATATTTAAAATTTATAAAATAATATAATTATTTATAATTAAACAATTTAAAATTTTATATAAATTTTATTAAATTTTATAATATATTTATTTTAAAATAAATAATAAATATTATACTTTTTTTAAACAAAATATATTTATATTAAATTAAGTTTTTAATAAATTTATAATTTTATTAATTATAAATTTAATTATTTATTTAATTATTTTATAATTTTAATTAATTTAATATTATTATTAAAAAAAATTAAATTATTTAATTTTATTAAATTATTTAAAATATGAAATTTATTTTTAAAAATTATTATTATTTTTTATAATTTAATAAATTAATATAATAGATTTTTTATATTAATTAAATTATTAAACTATAATTTAAAATTTATTATATTATATTTAAACTTTATTATTTAAGTTTTTTAATATATATATTTTAAATATAATATTAAATTTTAATAAGTAATTATATTTTTTATATTTTTATTAATAATATAATTTAAATTTTTAAAGTTTAATTTAATTAATTATTCTTAATTAAATTAAATTATAAATTAATTTTAAATTTTAAATTAAAAGCTAAAATATAATTTTTTATTAAATTAATTATTATAATATTATACTTTTTATTTTAATATTAAATTTAATTTTTATAAATTATTATATAATAATAAAAAAATATTGTTTTATAAATTTAATTATAAAACTAATATAAAATTAAATTAAATTAAAATTAAAATTAATTTTTTATTTTATAAAAACTATAATTTAATATAGTTTTTTTTAAAAATATTTAATAAATTAAAATATTTATATTAAAATTTTTATTAAAAATAAATATATTTAATATTTAATAAATAAATTAAAAAAAGGTATTATAAAAAATATTATATTAATATTAAATTATATATAAAATAAAAATCTAATATATAAATATTATTTTATATTAATTAATTAATTAATTTTTTAATAAATAATATAATATATTATTAATTTTATATATAATTTTTATATATTTTTTTAAAATAAATTAATATAATATTTAAATTAATTAAAATAAAATTATTTAAAATATTTTTATTATAAATAAAATTTTAAATTTATAAAATTTTAATTTATTTTTTATTAATATTTAATTTTTTTAATTTAAAAAATATTTAATATTAATAAATATATAAAAGTTAAATTTAAATTTATAATATAATAAAACTTTATAAATAATTTCAGAAATAAAAATATAAAAATATAAAAAAAATAAATAGTATAATTAATTATAATTATTAAAAATCTTTAATAAATTATATATTTAAATTTTATTTATTTCATATAATTTTATTTAATAAAATATTAATAAATATAATTATAATAAAAAGTTTTAATTTAAATTATTAATTATTTTATAAAATATTTTTAAATTATATAAACTAAATTTTTTTTTACTATAGTTATAGTTACAATAGTTTTATATAATTTTAAAAAACCTTAAGTTTTTTTATTTAGTTTTATTATTTAATTTAATTAAATACTTAATAAAACTTAAATAAAAATATAAAAATATAAATATATGAAAATATAAAAATATAAATATATAAAAATAAAAATATAAAAAAATAAATATATAAAAATATATAAAAATATAAAAATATAAAAATATAAAAATAAAAATATAAATATAAAAATATAAAAATAAAAATAAAAAAATATAAAAATAAAAATATAAAAATATAAAAATATAATTATAATTATAATATTTTTATTATTAAAACTATTATATGTAAGTAATTTTACTACTGTAGTTTTACAACTGTTATATAAAACTTCAAGTATCTGATATAAGTATACAAACATATACCCTTTAACTTGAAATAAAGCACAGGGTGCAGTTAGACAATATACTATGCGTTAATAGAATGGATCAGCGTCGCATAGTTTCCTCAAATACTTTCACTGGTAATGCCCCATATTTATCAAGGCGATGTTATTAACAATTATGGTAGCACCTCTTCTGTATTTTGGCAGATGCAGCTCTCTGTCGCAGAAGGGGCTGCATTTGACTCTGACTCTGAACAACGCAACCCAAAATGTTTACCAAACACTCGTGTCAAACTTCTTGAACAAATACTTGGCTGGACAGAAGACCGGGATTCATGTGCCATCTTTTGGTTGAGTGGTATGGCAGGAACCGGGAAATCCACCATCTCTCGAACCATTGCTCAATCGCTGGCGGAGAGTCAGAGTCTTGGGGCTAGCTTCTTTTTCAAGAGAGGTGAAATCGACCAAGCGAGTCTATCCAAATTCGTAGCGACAATTGCTGCTGATTTAGCTGCTAGACAGCCAGCGGTTACGCCCTATATCAGAGAGGCAATTTCTGTTGATAACTCTATTCTGAGGAAGTCAGTAAGAGAGCAGTTCCGCAAACACATTTCGGAGCCCTTGTTAAGATGTTAGCCAGATACTCAACCTCTGGGGCGCATAACACCACCACTCGTCATCCTGGTTGATGCTTTGGGTGAATGTGAGAGGGAAGATGATATGAGGCTCGTCATTGACCTATTCTCGCAACTTCAAACACTTCAATCTCCAAGGGTAAAAGTCTTTATTACTAGTCGGCCAGAACTTCCCATTCGTCTTGGTTTTACTGAGCTCGAGAAACCCCATCAGGTTTTTATTCTTCACTTAATCAAATCTTCTATCATCCAGCATGACATTTATATCTTTTTAAAGGAGAGGCTCTTTAAAATTCGGTTTGACTTCAATAATACAGAAAGAAAGGCTCGCCGCTTACCAGAATCCTGGCCTAACGATGCTGATATCCAAGCATTGATGAATATGGCTGTTCCCCTCTTTATTTTCACATCTACCATATGCCGCTTTATTGCTGATCGCAGAATTGGTCCTCCTCCAACAGTTTTAAGAGCTGTTCTGGATAATAAAACTCAAAGTCAAAAATCGCAACTCTGTACTATGTATCTGTAGATACTAAACCAACTACTTATTGATCTACGCCCATCAGAAAAGACGGAGGTAATTGATACGATTAAGGGGATTATTGGGGCTGTTGTTATTCTCTTTAGCCCTCTCTCGGCTATTGTGCTGTCGAATCTTCTTAGCATCCCTGCGGACACTGTTCATACTCAGTTTGATCTTCTACACTCAGTTTTAGATGTCCCGACTCTGGAAGATAAACCAGTGAAGCCTCTACATCAATCCTTTCGTGACTTTTTGCTGGACATCGAAAGTCGTGAGAACAACCCCTTCTGGATCGATAAGAAACAGGCACACGCTGAGATGGCATATAACTGCCTGCGTTTAATAAACACTCTGAAACAAGACATCTGTGAAATTCAATCCCCTTGAATTCCGACAGAAGAGATAATCCACACACTCTCATCTGAGCTTCAGTATGCGTGCCTATACTGGGTGAACCATGTACAGCAAGCTGGATGGCAGCTTCTTGATGGAGACCAAATCCATGTGATATTGCAGCACAATTTCCTTCATTGGCTAGAAGCGCTGAGTCTGATGGGGAGAAGCTCAGAAATCATAGACCTTGTTGATACCTTGCGATCAATTACAAAGGTAGGTCGTATATATAACGTCCTGCATGTGACTGAAGGTTGCTGACTTTATTTGGCGTAGCCCCAAGATAGCTCGGTGCTGACTGAATATTTGGATGATGCCCATCGCCTCATCGTTTCAAACTTTTCTCTTATCGAATCTTGGCCACTTCAAATATACTCTTCTTTACTAGTCTTCGCGCCAAAGGAGAGTAGGGAACGACTGATCTTTGAAGATCGGCTACCTTCTTGGCTGTCCTGTGCGCCAGAAACTGCCACAAAATGGGACGCATGTATCCAAACTCTACAAGGCCATGAAGGCCCGGTGAATTCTATTGACTTTTCTCACGACTCAAAGCTTTTGATATCGGGCTCTGGGGATACAACAGCTCGACTCTGGCTCGCAAAGACCGGAAGATGTCTTCAGGAACTGAGAGGGCATAGTAAGGCAGTGACGTGGGTTTCAATATCACATGATTCAATTCTTGCTGAATCCGGCTCATGCGACCAAACAATTCGCATTTGGCATGTTGACACGGGTAGCTGTATACGTTTACTCGAAGGTCACTCTGACTTTATTACAACAGGAGCCTTTTCACATGACTCTACCAATATAGTGTCCGGGAGTCATGATAAAACAATCCGTGTATGGAATACAGCCACGGGTGAATGCTTGCAGCAGCTTATAGGTCATGATAGTTTCATCCGGTCTGTCGATCTGTCGTCCGATTCAGCCCTTGCAGTTTCTGCCTCCTATGACGGCATCCGGATCTGGGATGTCAACAAAGGCTCCTGCAAAGGGCGCCTTGTAAACAGCGACCCGCCTGTTTATGCTACCTTTTCGCACCAGTCGGAATGTGTGATAGCGTATCTGGAAGCGGAGGAAGTTATACGGATCTGGAGAGTCGATACGGGCCAATGTGTACATCAATTCCAAGTTAAACCCGCAAGTTCGATTTGGTCTGTGGCCTTTTCCCATGATATTACCAAGATGGCTTATACTTCGCAGATTGATGAGAGTGCGCGAATCTGGTCTGCACATACAAATCGCACAAAGGAGTTCTTCTTCAGTCGGTGGCCTTTTCGCACGACTCTACCCGTATGGCATCGGCTTCGGATGACCACACAATCCGCATCTGGAATGTTGAAGCTGGGGATGAGGAGGAAAGGGGAGCATCCCTTAGTTCGATAGAGCGACTGTTTGGGGATCATAATCCCTTTGTTATCTTCTCGCCCAATGGGACATTCGCGGCGTTACAATCTCGAATTGATCAGCCAATCCTTATCTGGCTCGCCAGTACGGGTGAGTACATTTATGAACTTCACGAGGAGGAAGATTCCGGCTATGGTTACAACTTCTGGAAGGGACTTCCTATTTTTTCACAAGACTCGTCACTTGTCGCGTGCCAGGGGATCAGTAAGATTCAAGTTTGGCGACTCAGCAAAAGTGATTACATTCATCACACCCTAAAAATTTCAACCTCCGACCAGGCAGCTTCTTTTTCTCCTAACTTGAAATTTTATGGCTTAGCGACAGGCCATATGGAGAAAGTTGTCGAGGTCTGGGATATTGAGAAAAGAGAGTGTATTCTCAGGTTCACAGGGCATGGCATTGTTCTTTGTATCTCCTGGTCGCCAGATTCCGCTCTATTGGCAACAGGTTCAACTGACGGGATAGTTCGCATTTGTGACCTAGAAACCGGCGAGCAGATGCATACTTTAGGAGGCCACGACTTGGAAGTCAGCTCACTTGAGTTCTCCAATTCCTCGGATCTAATTGCTTCTGCCTCACGGGATTGCACTGTGCGTGTTTGGTCTGTTGCTACTGGTGACTGTTTGTTGGTCATTGAACATGCGGATCTTCCTCTCGATATGTCGATAGTCTCTTCACAACGCTTTTCGCTTATCGCGACGCTTGCCTATGGAGTTGTACGAATCTGGCGCATAAGAACAGGAGAGCTTGTCCAAGAGCTTAACCCCGGAGAGAATTGCTGTCGCCTAAACTTTGATCCTGACCAGCCTCGATTCAATACTAATGTTGGCTCTATCGATATTCGGGCAACTGAAGAATTCTATACCACTTCCATGACTGACGTCTTCCGTCCCGCGGGATATGGCCTTAGTGTGGATGGACAGTGGATTACTTGGAATGGCAGTAATTTGCTTAAGCTGCCAGCAGATTACCGACCTGTAACTGCAGATATAGCAGGATCTGTTGTGGTTTTTGGCTCGAAGATGTGGAAAACGATTTATCTTAGCTTTGACACCCATAAGTTGCCTCGTAAGATATAGTCAATATATAGTCGTTACAACGCATCAGATGTCAACTGGTGATCGTTGCCCATATCGGTCCAGAAGATAATCAAGTAATACGGGCTATTTCTCCATTTTCACTCTCTCCCACAAACCCCCCTGCCCTGTTACATTGAATCATCATCCCCCATGTTCCATTACCATATCCAGTTTAATCCTAGATGCATTGGAGACTCTTCTACCCCGCGGAAGTGGGACAATTTCCCCATGGCCAAAACATTTGGCGGGGTCAATAAACCAGCCCCTCTTCGGTAGCGTTTCCTCCGAACCAGATGGAACTGTAAGGATTAACGCTGTCTTGTCATCCAATGTATAGATCCCTAATAGCAATTGCTCCCAATATAACCAGCAAATTCCAGCAAAGGCTATCCTCTCCATTCATCCGCCGTCTATCAACCGCAGCCATGGGGAAAGCGAATACAACGGATAAGCTTACCAAGCTTAGAGCTCTGATGAAGGAGCACAACGTTCAAATATATGGTAAAGGGATTCGCTGTGCAGTTGCTTGTATCACGCGACTAACATGTATGTCCTTCCAGTTGTACCCTCAGAAGATAGCCACAGTTCCGAATACATTGCCTCCTGCGACGCTCGACGCGAATTTATCAGCGGCTTCACTGGCTCTGCCGGTTGCGCAGTCATCACGGAAACTGCTGCCGCCCTTGCGACGGATGGCCGTTACTTCAACCAGGCCGCCCAACAACTGGACGACAACTGGACGCTGTTGAAGCAGGGACTTCAAGATGTCCCTACGTGGCAAGAGTGGGCAGCTGAGCAATCCGCCGGAGGCAAGACGGTTGCCGTCGACTCGACCTTGCTCACGGGCTCTGCAGCGAAGAAGTTGGCAGAGAAAATCCGCAAAAGCGGCGGGTCCGATCTGGTCCCCCTTGACGTCAACTTGGTGGATGCAGTCTGGGGCGCAGAGAGGCCTGCGCGGCCTCAGCAGCGCATCACCGTGCTCTCTGAGAAATTCGCTGGCAAATCAGTACAGAGCAAGCTAGCTGACCTCATCTCTGAGCTCGAGAAGAAGAAATCGCCCGGCGTGTTCATTTCAATGCTTGATGAAGTCGCTTGGCTATTCAACTTGCGCGGCAATGACATCCCTTACAATCCAGTCTTCTTCTCATACGCTGTTATCACGCCAAAGGGAGCGGCGCTATACGTGGACGAGTCTAAGCTGGATGAGGAGTGCCGTGAGCATTTGGCTAAATTCAATGTTGCCATCAAGCCATACGAGGCCTTCTTTCGCGATGCGGAACAGCTTCACCAGCAATTCGTCGCCTCTGCTCAGGGCGAGGAGGGTGGCAACACAGGCAGCTTCCTCATGTCTAATAAGGGTTCTTGGGCCTTGAAGAGGGCACTGGGTGGAGACACAGCAGTTGAAGAGATCCGCAGCCCTGTTGGGGATGCCAAAGCCATCAAGAACGAAACTGAAATGGAGGGAATGCGAGCGTGCCATATCCGAGACGGCGCAGCCTTGATTGAGTATTTTGCATGGCTCGAGGATCAGCTCATCAACAAGAAGGCTGTGTTGGACGAGGTACAGGCCGCTGATAAATTGGAGGAGTTGCGGTCCAAGCATCAACACTTCGTCGGACTATCATTCCCAACTATTTCATCAACTGGTGCAAAGTGAGTTTACCATCCTCTCTGTATCCTTTTCGTAGTATACCAAGCACCGGCAAGCTACTGGTACTGACAAACGTCTATAGCGCGGCTGTTATTCATTACGGCCCCGAACGTGGAAATTGCGCTACAATTGACCCCAAGGCCATATACCTGTGTGATTCAGGAGCGCAGTACTTGGACGGCACAACAGATACGACAAGGACGCTGCACTTTGGAGAGCCTACGGAGGCCGAGAGAGAGGCTTACACACTGGTTCTAAAGGGTAACATTGCCTTGGATCTAGCTGTCTTCCCCAAGGGGACAACTGGGTTTGCCCTCGATTCTCTAGCCAGGCAGCATCTCTGGGTAAGTTTACAGGTTCCGATAATTATACGCTCTACTAACCTGTAGCAGAGCACAGGATTAGACTATCGACATGGCACCGGCCACGGTGTTGGGTCTTTCTTGAACGTCCACGAGGGTCCCATCGGTATTGGTACCCGAATTCAATACACTGAAGTTCCATTGGCACCTGGAAATGTTATCTCCAACGAACCAGGATACTATGAGGATGGCCGTTTCGGAATTCGAATCGAGAACATCATCATGGTCAAGGAGGTTAAGACAAAGTATGCCTTTGGTGATAAGCCATTCCTAGGTTTTGAGCATGTGACCATGGTCCCCTATTGCAGGAACCTGATAGATGAGAGCTTGCTCACCGATGCTGAGAAGGCATGGTTGAATGCATCCAACGCCGAAATATTGGAGAAGACCAAGGGATTCTTCGAGGGTGATGCTCTTACAACAGCCTGGCTGACACGGGAAACCCAGCACATTGCATAGATGTAGCCGCCTCAAAATAGTCAAAGAAGAAGTGAAAAAAGAAAAAAACAATGAAGAAAGAATTTCCATCTTAGAGGCGTACAAACGCTGCTAGGATGAAGGTTAAGCTGAAAGATGCTACGAACCAGCCATTTCCTGTGCCGTACTTGATGAAGGGGATTTTATCCGTGAGAACCTTGTGAGAAGAAACAATGCTCGGTAGGCCTAGCCCATATGAGGATGCGAGCTTGTGTTAAACGTGTCAGGGAAGAGACTTGGCATAGGAAATGACAGTCAGGTAAGCACTTACATGGTAAAAGGCCGCCATTACTCCGCCAATGAATACAAGGGTGCGAGAAAATAGAGAAACAAGGAGACCGGTACCAAATCCTATGGGGGGATGTGAATCAATTGGCCATTTTTTCGAGAGTGGCGAATAACTAGGTGAATGTCTGATTTACTGACCAACAACGCTGCCGGCAGATATCTGCCGAATGATGCGAGGAGAAAGCAATGGCTCTGAAGGTTTGACTGCAGGCTGACTCGCCGTCGGAGGCGATTTTTGGCGGGAGTCGAACCGAATGGTGGAATTGGCTGCAAAGGCCCCGTAACAGACGCCGGTTCCAATGCTCCCAAGCATAAATCTCCTAGAATAGCGGAGGATAGGGGAAAATTGCCTTATTGTCATGTTGAACAGCTGTTGTGTGGCGTTGTATTGTGTTGTGTTTGTGTTGTGAGAGAAAGTATCAAGGACTCTCTCAACTTGACAAAGAACAAGTCAAGCTGCAAGTACAGGTTAGGCAAGTCGGGGATATCCTGTTTGCCTGTGTCAAGACCAGGTACAGTAAGAGCTACTTCTGCTATGACGTATTCGGAGGGAGCGCATTGCATGAGGTGGGGTCAAGAAGCCGAGACAGTTCCTGGAGGAGAACATTAAGGTAATCTATCGGCATTCAACCGCCACAGCTGCGACGAAGCTAGAATCCAATCATGTTACATGGATTAGCAGCACCTGTTTCTGCGCATTTAACGCTGCCTCATACTCGTGGCCCTTCTTTCAACAGCAGATGCAACTAACTAACTATATGATTGTAGCTGTCTCTCACTCTTAGCATGTGATTGATTAGTCTTCATTGCCAGGGCCTGATCCGCCGCCAACTGTCGACAGCAGCAATAGTTTGGACGTTGGACCTGTCTAGGGCTTATTTCTCCTCTTTTTTTTCTCTCTCTCATGCAAACAGAATTGCAATCATCATCGCAAGTGTACCTAATCTGAAGCTCAACAAATGCTACTTGTCGAAAGTACCCGTAAGCTCTGCTTTTGCCTCTTGGGGGCACGCATGTTGGCGGGTGGGGCGCTCTGATTCGATGTCGCTGATTTCGTCCTTAAATAACGTCTTTTCTCGCCATGACGCTGCCATTCCACCTCCCAGAAACCCCTCATAGCGTAGACAGACAAAAAACAAGCCGTTCAAGATGAAGGCATACATGTACGACAACGTGCCAGTAAGCGAAGCCTCCCACCAGCCGGTGCGGCTCTGTGCTAACGCGGCATCGCAAGGGTGACCAGCGTCTGCCTCACGACTCTGGCCGCCAGGTGACGGCCGATGATCTGGCCAGCCTGGGCGTGCACTACCATCGCTTCCCCGAGACCAGCGAGGTGGATGCCCTGGCTGTCGAGCGCGGCTACAAGAACCGCGACGAGATTGTCGTGTCGCCTGAGAAGATGGGCGACGTGTACGAGGACAAGGTCAAGATGTTCTTCAACGAGCACCTGCACGAGGACGAGGAGATTCGCTACATCCGCGGTGGCCAGGGCTACTTTGACGTCCGCAACAAGGGCGACGAGTGGGTGCGCATCCAGCTGGAGAAGGACGACCTCATCATCCTGCCCGCGGGCATCTTCCACCGGTTCACCACTGATGAGTCCAACGTGAGAATTTTTCTTCTTCTTAGCTCTCCCCTTTCCTCCTTTGCCTCATCTCATATGAGTTGTTTCACGAACCACTCATCAGTCATCAACACCAAAGATGTGAGACTAACTACTCATTGCCTAGTATGTGCATGCCATGAGACTCTTCAAGGATGAGCCAAAGTGGACGCCCTTGAACCGTGCTCCAGAGCTGGACGGCAACGAATTTCGTAAGGGCTATGTCAGCCAGTTTCTCAACTAGAGGCGGCTCGGTGTAGCCGATAGAGAAGCAAAGTAAAAAAAAAATTATAGTACTGGATAGCTAGTATTTTAGATGCTGAATAAAATGCGAAAAACTATTACCAAGCCATTACTTCGCAAACCACTAGGAAAATATTCCCGATGGTGATTCAAACCCTCAACACCATGTCGCTGGTGGCAACAAGTTCGAGAGCAACGGCTTGCCCGGAGAAATAAAGTGAGCTGAAGAGGGACTTGCCCGGACCAACCCAATCGGCAGTTGCATGGCCGCATCCTTTATAAAAGCACAAGGCTGCGTCTCGCACTTTTCGGTTTCGGCCCAACCGCCTCGAGAAATGACACTTTCGCTATTCACACAGTATCGCGCGACGTCTATGCCTGGTTCGGTGAGACGCGGCTGCTGCACTGTCAAGAGGCGCAGACTCAAACTGCTCAACCTGGGGATTTGATTATCGAGACCTTGTAGCCATGGAGAACCGCAGCGAGTCGAGCGAAGTGTCGCGCCCGCGCCTGCAGCTGCCGGCAAGCTGCGATCCGCCTGTGCCCAGCGGGCCGACGAAGCAGCTGGTTTGGATTGTTTGTCCTTCTCCCTTTGTGTCGACTCAAGTATCAACTACCAAAATGACTGATTCCTCGTAATTCAAATCAGATCTTTGGCGGCACCGGCCACATGGGCCGGTCGCTGGTCAAGAGCGCCCTCTCGCACGGCGATCTTGTCTGCTCCGTCGGCCGCGTCTTCGAGTCGCGGCCCGAGGACATGCAGGGCATCCATGATAACTGTCTGGGCCTGCTGTGTGACGTGCGCTCGCGCGAGTCCGTCGCCCGTGTCTTCCAGCAGGTCATGGACCGCTTTGGCCGCGTCGACGTGGTGGCCAACTGCTCGGGCTACGGCGTCATTGGCGCCTGCGAGGACCAGGACGAGCACGACCTGCGCAACCAGTTTGAGACCAACTTCATGGGCACGCTGCATATCATCCACGCCACGCTACCCTACTTCCGTCGCCAGCGGGCTGGCCGCTACCTCATCTTCAGCTCGACGTCGGGCGCCCTGGGAGTGCCGGGACTGGGCCCTTACTGCGCCTCCAAGTATGCCGTCGAGGGCCTGATCGAGGCTCTGCTCTACGAGACAGACTTTTTCCACGTCAAGGCGACGCTGATCGAGCCCGGCCTGGTCCGACGCGATGAGCCCGACTCGGATACCAATCCGCTGCCGACCTGGGGCCACTTCTTCATCAAGCCGCCCAGCGAGCACTACTCAACCTCAACATCACCGGCCCTTCACGCAAAGCGCATGGTCCAATGGCTGGGCGATCGACAGCCCACCAGCGCCGTCAAGTGCGCTGAGCTGGTCTGGCAGCTGGGCCACTGCTCGTACCCGCCATTGCGGCTGCTGCTGGGCAGCTACGCCATTGAGAGCATCAGAGACCGCATGCGATCCATCACCGAGGAGCTCGAGGACTGGAAGCATCTCAATTTTGCCACTGTGCCGGAGTCGGAGCAGGGCAATGACGAAACGGAAGTCACTGTTGATGCTGCAGCCGCTTGAAGGCGCAAGTTTTATTTGTCTCTTGTCTTTGACTCTGTACGCTGGTTTCTCTTTTCTTTTTTTTTTTTTTGGATCCTGGATTGCATGCATGGTTTGGTTTGGTTTACTTCTCTATCAAAAATAGTCTGTCTACATTGGATAACAAACAACCTTACACCCTCACAAAGCTGCTCGTAGTATAATTGGAAACCAATGAGGTACCCGATTTACCAATTTAGCACCCATTTACGCTGGCAAATAGAGCTATAGCTTGAAAACTCACTAGTGCCGATACGGAAATTCTACTTCAAAGTCATGCAACTCTCAAAATCTTTTTAAAGCTCCATTCTGTTTGATGTCAATGAGACAATAGAGCAACCAACAGAGAAAAAGAAAAGAAAAAAAGAAAAGAAGAAGAAAAGGAAGAAGAAGAAAAGAAATTGATTGAGTTACCGCGGCATAGATGCAACGGCTCACCGTAGCAAAGCAGTCTTTACGGCCTCGCGTCGTCTTCTCCGGCATCCAGCCAACCGGAGTACCGCATCTGGGCAACTATGTCGGCGCTCTGAGGCAATGGGTCAATCTCCAGCGCGAGGAGCAGCCCTCGACCAAGCTGATATACTCCATCGTTGACCTCCATGCCATCACCGTGCCGCAGCCGCCCGAGACGCTGAGGCAGCGCAAGAGAGAAGTCCTGGCCGCCCTCCTGGCCATTGGCCTGGATCCCGAGCGATGCACCATCTTCTACCAGTCTTCCGTTTGTTCTTCCTCGTCCAAGCGTTGCCACAAGCCATAACTTAACGCTGCCTGTAGGTGCCGGCTCACTCCGAGCTCATGTGGATTCTTGCCTGTACTGCATCTGTAGGATATCTGTCGAGGATGACGCAGTGGAAGGTAGATAGAACTCTCACTGGCCCGTACACACAAGTTCCCCTGTTGACCCGCCTCAGAGCAAGCTCAGCCTGGCCTCATCCTCTACGCTGGAGAACCGAGCTGTCGGCTCCCGGCTGAAGCTGGGCTTATTCTCGTATCCGGTGCTGCAGGCCGCTGATATCCTCGTCCATCGGTAAGCCCAGGCGTTGCCTCTTCCCAAATCAAACAGTGACTGATGTGTTACCTCAAGGGCTACTCATGTGCCCGTCGGCCATGACCAGCAGCAGCACCTGGAGTTTGCGCGTGAATGTGTCACAAACTTCAACCATGCGTATGGAAGCCATCTCGTCCATCCCGAGACCCTCATCTGTATGCTTGATGCCATGATCCCCTCCCCTTCCTCATACCTGCAGCCGGCTCACTGAAAGAACAGCCCCCGTCCAGCGCATCATGTCCTTGACGGAACCCACAAGTAAAATGTCCAAATCTCACGAAGCACAGCGGTCGAGGATCCTCATCACCGACACGTCGCAGGACATTCGCTCCAAGATTGCCACCGCCCTGACGGACTCAACTCCCGGAATCTCCTATGATCCCGCTACACGCCCAGGCATCTCCAACCTGCTGGAAATCTTCTCCGTCTTTGATGCAGAAGGGCGCAGTCCGGCTCAGCTAGCTCAAGCATATGCTGATGCATCGCCAAGAACCTTCAAAGAAGCAGTTGCAGACACTCTGGTGGCTGGATTACATGGCATTCGGGACCGATATCTCGAGCTAAGTGCAAACGATTCGTACCTTGACGAGATAGAGCAACACGGTGCACGCAAAGCGCAGGAAAGTGCAAAGGAAACGATGGACATCGTGAAAGCCGCAGTTGGATTGTAGCGAGTCTTTCGTGGGAATTAGCGTCTTGAACTTTTGCACGACATATTTCCTTGTCCATTTCGTGTAGGACCATCTTATGTAGTATAGACATGTATGAGTATGATAGTTGCCAATATAGACTTGGCCAGCCACATTCGGCACAGTACATAATAAGGGGTAACATGCGACTGAATATCTATGGTATTGTGTATCTTCTGCTTTTCTCTCGGCTTCTCTCTTTTTTATCCTGTTATGGAATCGTGGCCCATCCTGGCCATTGTCGATTTACGATGCATATGCAAAGTTGGCGCCCCTTGCAGATAACCAGAAATCCCTGACGACCTGATTTGTCGTTCGAGAGCCTCTGAGACTGGGGGCTGAGTTAGCACGGGTCGTCATGTATCAAACCCATAGTGTAACATACCTGATTATTTTCTTCACAAAGAGTGATTTCTGCTCTGCAGATACCTTTTCGCTCGGGAATGAAGGATGGTCTAGTCCGGACTGGAGCCAATCTTTTGCCATTGGGTATCTGCTCACGAGCTTCCTCAGTGGTTCGCATAGCCGATCCAGCTCGCTACGTAGGGCGTTGCCCCCAATGTTTCTCGCAAGAGATTGACTTAGCAACGGTCCCAGAGTGTCCATTGCCCTCTGAAAGGTTTCCTGCAACTCTGCCTCATCTCCCCGAGCGCCGACAAACGCAGTCTATCAACGAGTTAGCTGACTGCAAGATGCCGGAAATGATGCAAGGTAGAAGAAGGCTTGTAAGAATTGCGTACCCAGAATTCAGCAGCGGCCGCCTTGGGCAACGGCTCCTTTCCATCCAAGACTTGTAAGGTAAACAGGAAAAAGAACTCGATTGCATCTGATGGTTCCAGTCCGATGAAAGTGCCGGGGCTTCTTGTCAGTAGCCGGCTGACGAGGTCAATGCCGTTCTGTACAAGTTCAGGTTCTGCTCCAGGTTCTGCTCTTACATGTTAACACAAATTTTTTTGTCATTCTGAGGTAAAGAACGTCGAATTTCTTACCAGGAAGCTGTTTTAGCAGTCCAATTACCCAGACAAGTACTTCTGAGAGTATCTTATGATACTGGCCTATCGTGTGAGGGGACAGGGAACTAACAAACGAACACGCCATGCTGACAATAATGCCAATTCTAGGCGTGTCTTTGGAATGTCCCACAAGAAAAGTTACTATATCCTCAGGTGTGAGAACGAACGGCCCTGGTTCGGTTTCGGAGAAGCCGCTGCGAAGCACGCTGCATATCAGCTCCGTGACTTCCGAACTCCCTTTGAATACGTTTTGGACCTCGATGATGATGCCTATTACTTGTTTCTGAAGTTCAACCAGTTTAGGCGTCTGCACCTTTTGAGGAGATACCGCCTCGAGATCAATGGAGAATTCCGGAGGGGACTGCAGACCCTTTCCCATGCTTGCTAGACACCTTAGGGCCCTGAGAGCAACATGCAGGCCAACGTGCTCTTGAGGAGCGATATCAGTACAAGGCATCTCAATTTGCTGCGGTAGTGCCTCATCATTGGTTATATTCACCAGTGTCATGGACTTTTGCACATCATCTTGTATGAAAGCAAGTAATCCTGAACAGGCGGTATACCTCTCATCATCCTCTGGAATAGCTTGGGCAATGGACGCAAGAGCACCAACGATCTTCTCACGAGAAATGCAATCAAGTGACGCTGTAGCCACCAACTTCTGATACTCGGCAAGTAGATTGTCCATTTCGGGATAGAGATGTAAGCGACAAGATGAGCACAATCGATGAATGGACTTGGAGGCTGGTAAGGCCATTGAGTGATCTGAAACCTCCTTAAATAGAAGGCTGAGCGCGGTAGGAAGAAGGTGAGTGTTCCTTTCAAAGTATTCTGTGTACTGCTCGATAAGGGTGAGGCAAGTTTGCCTAACTCGAGCAGGTATGTTTTTCTGAGCGCTTCGAAGGACAGAAAACAGTGGCGACGAAAAGACAGCAGCAAGAGAGCCATCACAGCGTGGGTCTTCTCGACTGCAGTCGGCCAAACCCCCCAGACAGAATATAGCCGACTCTAGTTCCAACCATGATGAATTTGCCAAGGTAGATAGTATCAATGACGAAAAAGTTTCGATGAGTTTCGGTCCAATCAAGACGTAGACGGCTTGTAGAAGGTCCACTACATCCTTTCGGGCATCGTTGAATCCAATGCGATCAACAGAGTCCCAAGAGTGGAATTCATCTGCTGGAGGATAGATGATCTTCTTCCATGCGTGCGATGTTGCCTGAAAAATGTATGGGATCATGATCGTGGTTATTGAACTTGCTGCAGTTGACTCCATCTCCATATCTGACACAAATTCCGTGAATGTTGACCAAAACTCAATGGCGGGGACAAAAATCTTGTTCTCAGCAACGGGGTAACCATCAGCCGCAAGGAGACCGCATAATCTGGATAATATATTCCGGTTTTGGTCGTTGTCATCTTGAATGAGGACTTGTATCCTGGCTTCGCCAAAAGCGAGGAGCACGTATCCGAGCTGTGTTGCTTCAAAATCGCCGTCGCCCTGGATGAGCTGGTCGTAGAGATTATGAAACCACGCGGTATCAAGGACGTTGGAGAGCGCGGTATAGTGCTGCTCGGTAAAGAGGGAAGGCCAATTGAAGAGTACATCAATAAGCAGTTCCGCGGCTGCATTGTACAGGTCTTCTACCATCAACGCGTTGATGGAGCCTCCGATAAGGGGACGCAGAGAGTCGGCAATATAGCTGTTTCGAGCTGATGTTTTTTGAGCAAAGTTGACCCAGGACTGGAAGATGGACATCCAATTAGCCTCTCTGTATCATCTGCTATATTGATATCGACAAGATATAAAGTTACCCACCTGAAGACATCTCAGCGCATCTTGTTTAACCTCCGGAGAATTACCATCTCGGTTCATGCACATGGTTATAAGCGTTACAGAATCCGAAGTGTTTGCCAGAACCGAGTCGTATAGCCCGACGCTTGATCAGGTTAGCGACGCTTGAACATGGCTACCATAAGGGAAGGTGAGTTTCATACTTGCTGGCAGCGTTCAGGTCGATACGAGTGACATCTTCGAGAATGTTGCTAATTACCAAGATAGCCGCGTGTAAATGGACTCCCGTAAGGCTTTCTGATATGGCGTTGAAGTCGATAGATTCATCGATTGTGCCAGGCTGCCAGGCTCGATTCGATGCCAGGCAAACCAGAAGATGAAAGATGTAGCGGCTACACAGTCGGTGAAAATACAGGAAATAGGTGGACAAGGCAGATGAAAGCTTCCGTACAACAAGCAATCCCGTCTTCTGTTGCAGAGCGCCTATGTACCATTCCAAGAGAGAGACGAGGAGCTCTGTGGCATCGCCATCGCTGAGAGACGCACTGATCGAGGTCAGCCAGGAAGCTTAGGGCACGACGGGCTGAATTGCGAAACATACCTTTCGGTATTCAGTTTAACGATGATGGTGAGCGCCCCGAAAAACTTGACTTTTTCATCTGGGCGCCCAAGCAGGTGGTGGGCGAGCGACCATGCCTGTGGTGAACCTTGTAACCGCGACAATGTTGCCTGTGTTTTGGAAATCGTGCTGGGTGAAGCTGGTTCATAGAGAGAAAGAATCAGCTTTGTCACAATTAGCAGTGATGCTTTCAAAGAACACCAACCTTGGCAGGAAGAGGGCTACAAAGACAAAGACTGACCGATTCAACTTGCTCGATTTCAGAAGGAAGAAGCTCATCTTGCATCGTGACGGATTTCTGGCGATGCCACACGGAGAGAAGTTCCACACGGTTCACCAGGCCACGATTGGTAGCTAGCGGCGCGGAAGTATCATGGCACACAGGTTTCTGCGCAAAGAGAGCGAGGCTGATTGATATCGACTGGCGCGAAGCTTCAATATTGCACGGCAAGCGATTAACCACCTCGCTATCATAAGCTCCATGATCTAGCGTCACATGTCACCTAGTGAATATTTACTACCTGGATAAAGAATAATTACATAATCTGCATACCTAATTAAGCTTAGCTACTGTTTACTTATTTATTTATTTTTTTGATTTAAGAAAAATAGAATATTTATGATAATTCTTCTTAATATACTGTATTAATTAAGTTTAAATTATTATATTCCCCTTCCAAATTCTCTTTTTAACAAATATATAAAAATTACAAGCTAAGTTATAATATTACTTATAGACGTAGTTATTGATTTATTTAAATTTCTTCCGTTATTTATTTTCCGTTATTTATTCTCATAATCTATATTCAGTGTGTGGTCTCTGGCCTCTTTGGGAGAGCACATCTCGTTATTCATATTTACACATGTTTGCTAGGCTGTAATTTACTCTAGCGGGGTGCGCTTTAGACACCGAAAGAGGAAAGACTGGCTTCCATTGTTGTTTACAGGACGTTTACGGCAGCGACATCTCTTCCCGCTGCACCCATCATATCATCAATATCTGTGGCGGAATCTTCGGTTTGGCGACCCTCGAATAATCTCCTCCACCAGCTTGGGGGATCTAATGGCTTGGAGCCATTGTGCAGCGGTGGGTACACATCGTTGAAGAAGTACCAGATGTGGCCAATGACGACACCCATGATTTCGTCTCTCGGTATCGTCCCGTGCATAAACAGGCTAAAGGCCATCAGCACCCATGGCAGGTACGGAGCTGTGAAAACGAGCAAGCCAAGGAAGCTCAGCCTTGTGTCGGGATTACGCCGAGACCAAATGTAAACGAGGGTAGAGGAGAGAGGGTGCCCGAGGAATGGCATTGAGACCAGTGGCGACAGGACAATAAGGCTCGCCATGGCATAGAGGAGGAGCCATGAGAAATATGCGGCTGATCTGCCCGATGACTCCTCGAGCAGCCGTGCGTAGCGTTGTAGGAAGTATATGTGAAAGAGTAGGTCGAGTGAAAACGGACCGAAGTAGAGAAACGTTGTCAACAGTCGCCAGTACTACAAGTTTGTTCAATCATCGGTTAGGATATGCCAAAAAGAGTAGTAGCAATTGCAATCGGAGACAGAGGCTCGACCAACCTGTGACTTGATAAAGACGGCTCTGAAGCTATAGAAGAGCTGAAATGGCGTCACCATGTGGCACTGAACGAGGGCGCTGGTCAAGACAGTGGCCGCCGTCCACCATCGCGTGCACACTGGCATCTCCCAGAACCATGTTTCCAGTGGGAGGCGGTCGCCGCCGATGACTTGATCCATTTAGGGAGTGTCTGAAACGGTTGCCGCAATCAATGTTGACTTCGTCGGCGATGCGATTGCTGGACGCAAATCAATAAAGGTTGAGGTGGCCTTTGACAGGCAACATAACATAAGCCCGCTGCGAGTTACCTGGCATGCGATGTCATGTTGCACCATTGCCACTTCTGGTGGATGGAGAGAGGCATTAGTAAGTTGAAGATCCACAACTGATTAGCCAAATTGATAAGACCACCGTGTTAATATTCATGCTGCACGTGCGCCCTCTTGAGGGTGTAGAACTGGGTAAATATATGTGTATCATTGGAACGGGCACTTTGCATCTGATAGTAAACAAATAACAATAATACAATATGTACTCCGTATACTCTTTCTATTGCACAGGTAGATACACATGATTGTCTTTACTCAAAAGCCATGATATGTCCCTTGGTTAATCCCATTTACACACTTACATCCTATTAGATGACCCTTGTTCACGGAAGCATTTTAACAAGAGGTGGTTATCCATTTATAGACATTTACTTTCCTAAAGCTGCCTAGCTGCCACTTACAGCCTGCGTCTGCTAAGGTTAGTACAGTGTCCCTCCTCAGTAGTTGATGCGGAGAAGGTGCTTCATACCAGCCAGGGATGGAGTCAACTAGTATTCTATACAAGGACCTGAGTCTTGCCACTGCTTGACCTTGAATAACTTCCAGGCGCCCTCAGATCAATGACTTGCCATACCACTTACCATGACCCTCCCCTCGTGTATTTGGCACGGTGGTTTTACTTGCCTTCTCCTATTAGGCGACCTTGCGCAGGCTAACTCGAAAGCCTCTCTCCAGAGTGCGCCTGGCCAATGCGACGTACGCACCATCAACTACATCACGCACGCGCTGCCGTCGCAATGTCTCAAGACCTCATGGACGGACTCAATACCGGCTCCGACCAAGTTTCCAATCACAGGTGACTACTATGACGTTGCAGAGCATGTCACGCAATCCGCCGTCGAGGACCAGGCCTCGTCGTCCGCCGCTACACAAAACGACACGTTGAGCAAGACATCTTCGGGCGATACCTTGGCGACACCGTTTATGTCATTTGAGGACTGGAAGGAGATGATGCTACGGGAAACCGGCCAGGACCCCCAGGACTTACATCTTCGGAACTCTAGCGGACGCCAGAAAGGTGACAGATCATCCCCCGACATGGAGGAGGGACTGGGCGAAGAAGGGGAGATATCCCTAACCTTTGATGATTACGGCGACGGCGACGGAACTCGACCTGCTACCTACACGGACTCGGCAAACTCAAATAAGGGCGACGATGTCGACGAGGCCCTGGTATCCAAGGAGGGGAAAGCGCCCATCCACCGAAGCAAAGACGCTGGCCAAACTTGCAAAGAACGCTTTTCATACTCCTCTTTCGATGCGGGCGCCACCATTTTGAAAGCAGGCCCGCAAGCGAAAAATGCAAAAGCCATTCTAGTGGAAAACAAGGACTCCTATATGCTTCTCGAATGCGCTGCGCAAAACAAGTATGTGATCGTCGAGCTTAGCGACGATATCCTTATCGACACCATCGTCATCGCCAACTTTGAATTCTTCTCAAGCATGGTTCGTCATTTCCGGGTTAGTGTGAGTGACCGATATCCCGTGAAAATGGAAAAATGGAGAGAGATTGGAATATTCGAAGCCGCAAACTCGCGTGATATCCAGGCGTTTCTTGTGCAGAACCCCCAGATCTGGGCGAAATATATCAGACTTGAGTTCCTAACTCACTACGGGAACGAGTACTACTGCCCAGTTTCGCTACTCCGAGTGCATGGCTCGAGGATGCTCGACTCCTGGAAAGATAGTGAGACGGGTCGAGAAGATGAGGCTCATGAAGAGGAGGAGGTTGAAGAAGAGATTCTTTCAATTCCCACTGCTACTGTTATGCCATCACCCGCGGCTGTTGAAACCGCCCCTGAGACCAGAAAGGATGAGGAGACGATTCTGGCGCCCACGAGCACCTCTCTGCTCCCATTAGACAAAGGCCCATTTTACCATTTAACGGCAACATGTGCCGCATCGCCAACATTGGCAGCGGATGGCAAATCAGGGGATCTGGGATTCGCAACAGCTAGTGAAGGAGTCAAACGTCAAATCAAAGACGGTACCCTGGAATCAAATTATGCATCTGCGGATTCTCCAAGATCAAATGCCACGCAAGCCCGTGATCCCCCTACTACGCCGCCCTTGAAGCAGACAGACTCTTCCAAGCCAGCTGCCGAGAATGCCCAAATCCCGGCCGAGTCTGTAGACGCCGCCGGGTCAGGTTCAGGGACAGGCTCAGGGACGGGAAAACCTCGAAGTACCTCAAGTGCCTCCGCTGCCACACCAACCGTGCAGGGAAGTTTCTTCAATTCCATCACCAAGCGCTTGCAGCAAGTCGAGTCCAATCTCACCCTGTCGCTCAAATACGTCGAGGACCAGTCGCGGCTCATGCAGGACGCCTTGCAGAAAACAGAACAGAAGCAGGTGTCCAAGCTCACACGTTTCCTCGGAGACCTCAACCATACCGTACTCGCCGAGATGCGCAATGTGCGCGAGCAGTACGAACAGATCTGGCAATCCACCGTCCTAGCTCTCGAAAGCCAGCGGGAGCAGTCTGAGCGTGACATTGTGGCGCTGAGCACAAGACTGAATCTCCTGGCCGACGAAGTTGTCTTCCAGAAGCGCATGGCCATTGTCCAGGCCATCCTCCTGCTCTCCTGCTTGTTCCTCGTCATCTTCTCCCGGGGAGTCCCCATCCCTTACCTCGCGGCCTTGCAGGAACAAGCTGCCGGGATAGCATATACTTCCCCTCCGCCGTATTCCGGCCATGGATCGCACAGCCTCTATAAACCTGATCCGGGCGTCCAACCGGACAAACAGCCGTTGCCGAGCCATGTCCCAGTGGTCAGCGTCTCCTCATTTGAAGCTGCGCCAAACGTACCGAGTAAACGAATGACGTTCTCCTCACTGGAGACCACTGAATCCCTCAAGCCGATACGTGCAGCCGGCCAAACAGACCCTTCGCGGCGGCATCCCTCGCTTGGTACACCAGGCCCCCCAAATGATGACAATTATCCAGACATGCATTATCTAGACCGCGATTCACGCTTTCATTCCCACCACCACCCAACTTCAAACCATTTAAATACGCCCCGAAAGCCCCTTCCCTCCCTCCCTGAGCATTTGGTATCGGCTCAGGATTCATAATATAGATAAAACTTGTAACAAGTACCAGTTACTTGGTAGGCGGTCGATGCTCTTATGAGCACTGTGTTAATGTAGTGCTACTAGGGTTTTAGATGTCTGCCTCATGGCAATGATATGAAGCGTTTTAAAATGTTGATTGAATAAAATGTGTATTGAAGTACGAACGAACTAGTTTCTCTTTCTGTCAAACTACGTGATCTTATCTCACCACGTGAAAATCATGGTTTATCAACCGATATATAGCAAAGTGGGTTGTCTGTAATGAGGAAAAAAAAAAGGGAAAAAAAGGAGGACAAAACGATCATCACAAATGGAATCAGTAAACTTCAATGTCGCAAAAATAGTCGAGAGCCCTCTGCCCATACTGGGGCTGGTTAGTCATAACCTCACTCACTGGGTCGTGCTGCCGTAAAGATGCTGTATAGCCGTCTCATAGTCGTACTCCTCAAGGGCTGCAAGACGAGTGCCTCGGTCATATTGGGATCGCCGGCGCCGCTGCTCATCGCGAAAGTGCTGCCCAGCGTTGGGCGTGAAGAGTCCTGGTAAGAGTAAGCTTTGGAATATCTTGAAAAGAAGCACGACTGTAGAACTCACCAACATGCTCGGCATTTTCGCAGCTTCGCTTCATCTTTGACTGGTTGTCAGGCTCGGGAAACGGCTCTTCTTGTCCGGCAAGGTCCGGCATTGGTCCATTGGACGTGTAATAAAGCTTGTATTCGTTAGCCATTGCCTCGAAAAATGATACGTCCATGAAGAGTCTCAGCAAATACGTACTTTAGGGCGATAGTGCGGAGCCTCCAACATCACAGAACTGTTTCGAAATTTCTGCACCAGGCAGTCCTTTCCCTGGATAGCTGAAGAATTTGGTCAGTATAACGAGGTCACAAGATTTGTTGAGGTTGACTCACTGGCATATGAGATCTCTGCCACCTTGTCGCTTTTGAAGCAGTTCCTGCATAAAGTGTCAGTCTGTTAGAGCATCAGTAAAAACACTAATGAGGACGCATACCAGCGTTGGTTTCCCCGAGCATTGACAAACTTGGGTCAGTAAAGTTAGCACCCGCCATCAAAAAAACCACTCATCGTGTTCAAGTTGTACTGACATCGATTATATCCAGAGGCTACAGCCAGACGTTAGTATATGGTAGATTCGAATGGGAGATGTATGACTTACGTCTACAAAGTTAATGAATGCATATCCGACACTGCTCACGACCGTTACTACTTGTACGACATACATGAACAGGGACCTCAGTGACTCACTTGCAGTCGTTGGCAAAGTCGATGCGAAGGTACATAAAATCGTACTTTCCCCAGCTGGACTCGTCAATGATTCTTTTCAGCATGGCTTGGTCTACCTTGTTGGGGATATTGCGAAGCATGATCTGCAGAAAAGAAGTCAGCCAAAATTTAGACTTATAACGCGGATTAACTAACCGTAGTGCGGACGTCGATGCCATCACGGATACGATTGATGTCAACGTGGTTGTGGTGAGTTGTAGTATTATGATAGGTGGATCGACTGATTCTCATGGCATTCTGTCGGCGAGCGTCTGCTCGTTCAGCACCTGAAAAGGCCCTGGAGGGACTGTAGTTGTTTTGGGTTGTGAGAGCTGGGGAGGGTGGCGTCTGGTACAAAGTTCCAAAGATGGGATACTGCGGAGTAAATGAGGCCAATGGGCTCCCTGAGCCTGTCTGCGCAGCTGGGAGGAAAGAATCCAGCATATACGGCACCGCGGGGGTGAATGGTGTTTGGAGCATGAACGGGTACATGGCAATAGGTGCATTATAGTGCGGATCGCCTTGACCAGCCTGGGAGGAGTTGGAGCTCACAGAGCCAAAACGTTGGTCTGGATCATCTGCTCTCTTGCTGAGAGCCATCTCTTCCACTACTTCAGCGAGTCCAGCGGCGGACAAAGCATCAACGTTGTATGCTGATGCGAAGAGCTGAATACCCTAAATAGTTTCAAAGATTAACATAAATACTCGTCGAAGAGTCGATGAAAAGTACAAACCTCTGTAGAAATACCACCGCTGCAAACTTGTATGACAGGAAAGGCAGCAGTGGTGTCACAAAACTCAACAACAGCTCGGAAAGAGCCGTTTGGGAAAGTGGATTGCCTGACAAACGCAAATAGGCGGCCGTGTGACTGCAAGAATCGATGAGCCACTCCCATAACTTGGACTGGGTCCATGACAGCTCCTGGGGGGACCACGGCAAAGATCAGAACCTGGCCCGTATGAGAAAGGCCGACTGCATAGTTAGTAAACTTGTCCCACTGAATCGGATGAAGGGATGCAGAATTACCTGCACTTTGTCCCATCTCCATGTGGTTACCTTGAGACTGGGCAACACGTGTCGGATTGGCAAAGGTAACTTTCCACTCTTTGTCGGCTTGGTGAAGCTTCGTCTGCGAGGCGCAAGCGTCTCTGATGTCTGTAAAGTAGACAAACACACCGCTGCTGTGAGCCTTGAAGTTTCGCGCGCCATAAGTGGGATTGCCATCTTTTCCTAGATCCTATACACAAACATCATTGTCAATATTTGCCAAGTGAGTGAGGGATTGTTGGCAATACGTACCGTTAGAAGAGCCTCTACTTCTCGAGCAGAAACTTGAGCTAGCGACGAGATGATAAGGATCCTCGACAATCCCATATCGGTGCTCAAGGCAGCAGAAATGGGACCATCTCCATTTGGCAGGCGCACGTAGGTATTGCCGACAAAAGGGCTGAACGCCGACGCTGTTGGCGACAACCTTGTGCCAACGCCTTGGATGGAGGTGATGAAAGGATCCTTGTCAAGGTGCGAACCCGCACTGCTGCGAAAGCTGCCGGTAGGAAGCCTTGCCGGCGATGTGGCGATAGCGGCCGATCGAGCAAAACTCTTGAGCAGACTGGACGACTTTGAGCTCTCATCTGGACTCATCGAGGTCAATCGGGTGTCAGGCGTTCCCTTGAAGGAATCGGCCCCTCCGTTCGACGACCGAGGAGACGACGGATTGTCGACCTGATGCGCCATTGCAGAGTGTTCCAAACCAAATGCGTGATGGCTGCGGATGAGATGTGATGCCTGGAAGTGAAGTAAGCTTCTGTGTCCTGAATCGCGGAATGGGAGAAGTAGGTAGCTGTAATTGCTGTGATTCTTCTCCGACTGATGGAGTGTGCAGCGGTGAGGAAAAAAAGCAGCATGCGCGCTGCAGAAGAGAAAGTGATAACTTGCTCACAAGTGAGGAGCTCGTGAGATGCTCTGCACAAATGGGCCGAATCGACACACCTGGGCAGCTGCTGCCAAGTATGTCGAGAGGAAAATTTGCGTGCTCTTGCCACTGCTTTCCTCGTGCTCTTGCCATCCCATCCTCTCATAGGGCTTGGGGGAAAGGGGCACTCACCCAAGCAGGAAGTAGCCTGTTGCCATCTGGTGGCACTGCCGTCTCTCTTGCTCCTGCCTTGCAGCCAACATGAAAAAAGATCGTCATTTCTGTCCACAAAAGGCAATTGGGCGCTCGGATTACCGGCTTATAGGGGGCACCAGGACAATTCAGCTGCGTAACTGCCCGCTATCTGGGAGGAAACAATGGAAGCCTAGACTGGCACCTACCTAGAAGTGATATTACCTTGAGGATGGAAATACTTGGTACTAGAAGCTGTCCGTGTTATTCAGAGAAACAGGCCGCTCACCTATTGGTGGCTTAGATAGAATTGCATGATCAAACGACAAGACAATCAGCAGGAGAATACCTGTCATGATGAGCAGAAAGCGCCAATGAACGCTTGTAGTGATTTGATAACTCGTGCATTAAAATCTGGTGCGCCATAGCCCGCAATTAATGTAATACTATCCCAGGCACCCTCAATACTCATGAATACTACAAGACTCCGTGCTTGCTTTCCTGAACCATACTGTAGTAGGTATAAACATTCCCATTCCTTTCCATTTGCGCCAGTGATATCTCTGTAATGAATCTCATTTTATCGATAATAACAGTTGTTGGGTGAAACGATGGTATTTTACTCGGGAAGACGCCGCAATTTTTTTTGTTTGATGAATCGAAGAACAGAATGGTGACTGAGTTGAGCACGGGAACCTAGGCTTGTGCCCTTCTTCGTCGGCCTCTGCTTGGACCGTCTGGACGTTGTGCTAGTACATCCCTCAGCAGGGGGTCGTCCTTATTTTTATCAATATGATGAACGCGAACGTGTCTGCAACGGATGAATGTCAATATTGGTCGATCCCTTTGTCATCAGTATCCCAGATGGTAGCTCTAGGCACTAGGGAGATTGCGCCGGCTCTGTTGGATGGCGTGGTATGGAGACTCGAACTTGTGTGCGGTGCGGGAGCCTTACCTTTGGAGATTGTCCGGCCGAGGATATTTATGTTCTCTGTCTGCGCAAAAGGGACAAACATATCCAGGAGAGTCGTGGACCAAGCCATGCCGAATCATCTCATTCTTCCGCTTAAATCCTTTCCCCCCTTCGGAACGAGGACAGCCCTGCACGGGACAGTAGTGAGGACGGACTGAAGAATGCACATTAGCGTGAGAATTGAGAAGGTATTGAGTTTGGAACGGCGGAGCGGTGCACCCGGGAAATGTGCAGCTATAGCTTCCAACCTGAGGGTTAGTTATTCCGTCGATGCTCATACGATCCGCTACAGAGGCTATAGGGACTGGCGAGGTAATGGTGTAGCCGGGTTGGAGGGTATTGCCGGAGGCGCTGTTGCTCGAATACTCGCCGGGAGAGCGATGCATGGATCCATTGGACGCGAAGTTGTCAGGACTGGAGGCGGGAAGAGAATTGGGAGATGGGAAGCTGCGTTGATACGACTCGCTGGGAGAAATTGGGTGCGACGCACGACTGCCGGTAGACATTGACGAGAAGCGTGGGACACCTACGGTTGGGGAGCGGGAGAAGGTCCGCGCATCGCCGGTGTGACGTCCTGGTATGTCTCTGCTGTCGTTGGGCGTTGGCATGTCCGTCGGGTGATGATGGTTGATATCGTCCAGAGTGGCGCCCAGCGTCGTTCGTATTGAGGGCAAGCTCAGGCCATTGACACCATCATACTTGGGCGAGTCTATTTGCAAAGGGGGCAGCTCGCCGGGCCGTGGCGACAACAAGCTGAGGCGTCCGCCCAGGAGCGGGCTTTTGACGTCGCGATTGGGGCTGGGCACGACATCGTCTTGAATGGAGAGATGGTAAGTAGAGGCTGACATCTGATCAACACTGGGCTTATCTTCCCCGGAGAGGTGGCCGCCCGCAGCTAGAGCATCGGCGGCAACGGCCCGCAGGGCCGTAGCGGCGCCATCCGGCCGCTGGAGCTGGATAATGTCGGCTTTCGCAGGGTTGGTGTCTCGCGATGGGCTCTTTTGAGGGGTTTCATCATCTTCTTCATCATCTAATTCAAAGGAGCCCTCGTCTGCGCCAGGCAATGCCTGGTGGCTGGCAGCTTGGGCTATCTCAGGATGGCTGCCGCCGCCCAGATAGGCGACAAGGACGGCATCACCAGAGACGGGCCGGATCTTTGGGCGATTAGACTTGGGAAATCCGTCGAGAGGAGGAGGGCTGAAACTGACTTGAGCGCTTGGTATTTCCGGAGGAGGGCTCTCTGTGAGTTCGAGCTTGGGATGCACTGCTTTCATCTGAGGAGTGCCTGGTGAAAAACCTGAAAGAGCCTCATCTGGATCATAGGCGACGGAGTCTAGCTGCATCGAGCGTTCCTGGCATTGACCTTGGAGCGTGCTTTGTCGGTGCGGCGCCGTGTTCATAGTTCAGTTGTCCAAGAAGTCATCGGTCAGCTCTCCATGGCACCCTTGGACATGCGGGGGCTATGGTAACGTGGTGGTGTGGACGCGAGACGCTCTTCAGCCCGGAAGCTGAGCTGACGGGATCGGGACACACGAAGCCCTGCCGCTGTATTTTTTTTTTTGTCTCTCACACCCTCTCCCTCCTATCTTTTCTCTCCTTTTCCCTCTTGGTCTTCTCTTGTGCTCCCCTGTTTATTTTGCTTTCTTCCTTTCGTTTAAACAAAACAGCCGCTTGACCGGAACGACGCGAGTCCAGTGCTGGGCGGATTGAAGGGGGACCGTAAAGTCCCTCTATTGTGTCTCTACGGATCCTTTGTCTCCCGGATGTCCTCCCAGCCGTCCCCCTGTGTTGGGAATTGCTACCCCCCGCGCCAGCTTATGCGCGCGTTTGTGCTGTTGCGCAGGCACGTGAACCTGGCCGGGTATCTTATATAGACACCAAGCGTGCCTTATTCAAAGCTACCAGGAGAGGGCGGTTGGCAAAATACGGCAATGTGAGGCGAGAGGGACGCCGAAAAAAAGGCGGAGGAGGGACAATGCGATGCAAGAAATCAATATCAGACAGCCCAAACGACATGCGATAATGATACGCGAAGGGGGGCCTCGCTCGAGCTGGATCGATTTAACAAGAGCAGCGAGCTGTTACTGTAGATGGGCAAAGTCTCAGCCGAGAGTTGGATGATGGCGGGGATGGGCAATTAGGCGGCAAAGTGGTTTTAGCGCATACCAAGAGAGCGAGAGGCCGCATTTGCACGCAGCACGAGCAGCAGAGCAAAGCAGACGGTGATGGCGCGAGCGATTGTTCAGGCTAGCCGCCCGCGAGCAAGTCAGTTCAATTCAAGGCGAGCGCGTCGCTACTGTACGTGAAGAGCAGAGCAGCGCCAGATGGACGAGGGCACAAGTCGAGGAGTGAGAGGGGGGGGAGAGCTGTCTGTCGTGGGATGGAGCCCGTCAATAGCACAGCTGAGTATTGACGATGATAGGCCATGGACGCAGCGGCTGCGCCATTGGTACAACTCTGGACAAGATGCGGACCCCAGGCAGCACGGAGTCCAGTCAGGTACACAGAGCAAAGTGTCGAGCTTCCCGTCAGTCCAGTCAGCCCAAGGGTATTTTTGTACAGCCACGACGAGACCGCTGTCTTGCATTGACGACCTGACCCAAACCGTCATAGTGCACATCGGGCGTGATAAGGTACATACCCAAGTGGTGGTCTTGTGGGAGGGAGGGAGAGCCTACGGGTACGGGGGGAACATGCTAGGTATGCTGGGTAGCATTCAATGCTAGTAGCAGATTTAGCACCAAATGCACGGGGTGCTGTGCCGTACTTGGCATTACCCTGATGGGCGGCAAGCTTTATTAATATAAAGTGTCAGAATTAACATGCGCCACAGCGGCGGCACAAATGAACGTGGCTTTGCTTGGCGTGCGTGCCATTTCATGTGATGGGTGAGTGGCGCCAAACGTATGATGATGATGGAGAAGAAGAGGAAGTACTCGTACTGTGGTGAGAGGGAAAAAAGTAAATTGAGGGGAAAAAAAGAGAGAAAGGAAATAATAAAAAAATTAAATTAAATTACGCATCTAACCAACATGCATAATTACCTAGTATTTAGTAATGAAGAGATAAACAAGAGATACAGGACAAAAGATACAAAATAGGTACCGACCCTCATTATACAACCAGCGCATCGCACTATCACACTGCACGCCCACTTATCCCTTTGTCCTGTTAACCGTACTCCGTACCGACCTCGGTTAATTGGCCGCGCCGGCCCACGCCGGAAAGGTACCGAGTCGCGAACTCCAAAAATCCTGAAGCCGAGGTCTATCTAATCGTGCATCCTGAACCGGAGTGACATAGCCAAACTAACAGCTGCCACAGAGTAAATCAAACTTCTGCTAGTGCTTTGTATTCCGGTCAGCCTTCTGTAAAGATCGCTGCTTTGCCGCCCCTTGGCATTGTTTCTCTTCCATTTCTTCTTCTCACGCTCCATTGCATGTCCAAGAGTAGGCCATAGAATCCATTGCCCTTCTTACATGTGTAAATAACAAGCACATGCTTTAATTCTCACAATGGCCCAATCCAAGCCTGCTATTTCGCCCTGGGGCGGCGCTGTCGCCGGCGCAACCGGAGCCGTCATAGCAAACGCCCTGGTGTATCCTCTGGACATGTAAGTCTTGAATCTTGAATCCATCACCACTCGTGCTAATCGACATGCTTGCGACAGCGTCAAGACCCGCCTGCAGGTCCAGGTGCGCCCCGACGAAAAGGCCGAGAAGAACGAGGGCGATGCGGTACACTACACCTCGACCTGGCATGCCATCTCACGGATTATGGCGGATGAAGGCATCCAGGGCCTGTACGCCGGCATGAACGGCTCCCTGGTTGGCGTTGCGTCTACCAACTTTGCCTACTTCTACTGGTACACCGTTGCCAGGACGCTCTACACAAAGTCGGCCGGCCCTTCTGCGGCGCCTTCTACGGCCGTCGAGCTCTCCCTGGGTGCCGTTGCCGGTGCTCTGGCGCAGCTGTTTACGATCCCCGTTGCCGTTGTCACGACTCGCCAGCAAACTGCTTCCAAGGCCGATAGAAAGGGCCTTTTCGCGACGGCCCAGGAGGTTATCGAGGGACCGGATGGCGTCAGCGGACTTTGGAGAGGTCTCAAGGCCAGTCTCGTTCTTGTCGTCAACCCAGCCATTACATACGGCGCTTACGAGCGATTAAAAGACATCATCTTCCCTGGGAAATCCAAGCTGAAGCCCTGGGAGGCTTTCCGTAAGTCTCCAGACTGCAAACACATTCCCTGTTCCTATTGCCGCGTCTAACCATCTTCAGTCCTGGGCGCCATGTCCAAAGCTCTGGCAACGATATGTACCCAGCCCCTGATTGTTGCCAAGGTGGGTTTGCAGTCAAAGCCACCTCCGGAAAGAAAGGGAAAGCCATTCAAGAGCTTTATCGAGGTCATGCGGTTCATCATCGAGCGTGAAGGCGTCCTTGGTCTCTTCAAAGGAATGGGACCCCAAATTCTAAAGGGCCTCCTTGTCCAGGGCATCTTGATGATGACAAAAGAGAAGTAAGACCATTAGAAGATCTATCAGTGGCTCCAGAGCGTGTGCTAACCTTTTCTCAACAGGGTGGAATTGCTCTACGTACTACTATTGAGATATTTGAAGTCTGTCAGCCTATCCAGAGCGCGGGAAGCCATTACGTCATCAACAGCCACGGCCGCCATTGCAAAGAATGCCGCGCAGATCACGCCTTTAGTAAAGAGCTGATGAAGTGATGTGTGTGCTTGGAGGTAATCAAATTTCGGTTTTTTGTATAACTCAACGCTGTTTCTATTATGTGGCTATATACACTATAGTACTATACATGTACACGCTTCATGGCTGTCCTAATCAATAAATACGCATCCGAGATTCCTAACCCAGCCATTCTAGTGATAGCTCTGAGTAGTTTTGCGCAATTCTCCCATACTGAAATTGAAAGGGTATATTTGATCATATGTGGCGCTCTGCACTAGAAATCACTACTCGCACTCAGATGCCGACACTAATATATGTGGTGATCAAACTCCCCAGTCGCCAATTTGGATGGGAGAGTCGCTAAAGATGTCTCCACAAAGTTCTTGGATTGCTCTGTGCTCCCATAGACTCTCAATGATAAGATACCTGGGTCCGTGGCTCGGGCTAGTCGGCGCAATGTCGAACTCGGGTGTCCGAATGATTGCTCCAGAGTCTTCCAAGCCTCCTTTTGACTCTGCTAGAATACGTGGCTCCGACTCTGGACCATCCATAATCGAGATGCGAACCATCACGGCCGGCAAGGAGCGGGTGTCATGATATAAAGTCTCGGACAGAGGTGCCAAACTTCGAATAGATACAAAGGCTCGAGTTACCCATGAAGCGCTGATGGGTGCTCTCCAGCTTTGTCCTTCTCCACCTAGAGTGAATGGTGATATAGGCGTTCGTAGTTTTCCTGCTGTATCAGCCGGTATAGGCTCTAGAGTAATTGGCGTCATAGAGCCGATCCGGAGTATAAAATCAGCCATCTGCTGTGCTTCAAAAGTTGAACAGACCAGGGTGTAATCTCCGGCTTCGAGCATAGCAAGTTCGGCGATGGCACAACCACGACGGTATTCTCCCGATGAAACGACCAAATCCTTTGCCTTGACCGTATTTGCGCGTTTCCCTCGTGCCCAGATCAAATCGACATGGACATGAACATCTCGGTTGCCTGTGGATAACAGAGTGGATATGGGGGTGGCACGAGGAACCGACAGCTTATACTGGGGATTCAAGAAATACGTCGTGCACGATGAATTCCCCCCTGCCGTCCGTCTATTCCAGGAGCCACTGTGTTCTGTGAAATACGTCATCTTCTCCTCAGCTTCTTTGACATGCACTGGCCCATTAGAGAAGATGAAAAGCGAGAAAGTGTAGTTGGGCAAAGGTAACGCCTGCTGGTCAATGACAACAGTGTACGCTTTATCCGCCCTGCTCTCGATCCTTGCGAGTGTCTGTGGAGAGTCAACATACGGCCCAGAATATGTCGGTCCATCACTGAGCTGGACCCTTTGTCCTTGATGGTCGAACACAAGAATACTCATGAAGCCAAGTTGACTGGCCACGGCAGCCAGAGATCCAGACTTGTTGCGGGCAATCTCAAGTTCAGCATCTGCAAAATGACGGCTCAATAAGATCCAGATCACTCCTCCTGTGGGTGAGATGATTGAGAATTGCGGGTTGCGCACCAATGATGCCGCAAAATCTTTGGTGGGGATATCCCAAGCAAAATGACGCTCTTGGCGATGAGAAAATAGGGCTGGATTCCAGTTGAGATACATGGACTCGAAATGCTGAGCTATATCCTCAATAGCCAGCCAGAGGGTACCCGCAGATGGTGACTCGGCATCTTCATCACTAGCCTCAGACGATGAAGAGTCAAGCTTGGCTCTTACGGAGCCGTGGATGGCAGACCACCCTTGCCCTGTCCACGTCTGACCGTGTGACCAAGGATTCTTGACAAGAAATTTGCGGCCTGATGGGTCAAGATCCTGCACAGCATAGTCATGTTCCCCTACGAGACCCATTATATCTTCTTCTTCTGTAGAGACGTGGCCTGTGCCGAGTGTGATGACGACGTTCCCCATATCATAAGCTGTCTTGATCCGATCCCATGCCTCATCTATGTCAAAGTCCTCCCTGCGACGTATCATGTGAGTAAAGATCTTTCTTCATGTCTAGAGGTGCGAGCCCATACCTCTGGAGAAATATTTGTTCAGGAATCCACCCAGTGAGGACCCAGAGATCAGTCCCCGAATTGCTACCGGGGAAATCATAGCCGCCCCGTACCTTGAGATAGGCCTTCTCGAGCAAAGCCGGCCATATCAAGCGAGGGTTATGTCGATTGATCACGAAGAGGGCTCGATCTGTTCCTGAGGATGGAAGCCTGTCATCTATGACAACTCGGCGAGCACAGCCGTTGAAATTTAGCCGAAATATGTATTTTCCCGAAGGCGATAGCTTAGGCTGACCCCTTCCGTGGTCGAATGGGTGCATAATTTTCGAGAGAACCTGGAGACAATGCCATTAGTTATAAAGTTGATTGCCATGCCATGCCATGCATTATTTGCTCACTGCATGTTTTCCAGTCCAAATCCCTGCGGCAGCAGAGAGACTAGCGACGACCGAACAGTCAGTGGTTATATCTTGCGCCAAGTCGAATCGCGTGCCTTGGTTCATAAGAATGTCATCTTGGCCGTCAGAGAATGGGCCGAATAGCTCGTGTGGTCTTCTCCATGCCGAAAAGTTGGCTATTTGGGTTTCGGAAAGCGGGAATACAGTGTCATCACTAATCATGTCTTCATATTAGACTCGCTCGTCACCATATTTGAACACAACACAAGAAGGAGATATAGAAATGCAGGAAGGCTCACACGAATGGGTTCTGATCAGCCCCAAGCTGGAACTGCGCGTCTGAGGGATCTTCACCCCAAGGAGGATAGTAGCTTCCGTGAAGCCGTGAAGCACCACGCAGAATGCTGAAGCCCTCTGCTGGTGGTGATGCCGACGGTGCTGCTAGCTGGTGCTTGAGCTGTTCGGCGAGTGCGATGAGCTGTTGGCATTTGCGGCGACGTCGAGCTGCTTCATCTTTACCGATTCCCTTCTCTGCAGCTGCTCGCATATACAACTCGGCCGCTTGTATGGCATAGTCCAAGGCTTTTTGGCCAGATGATGTTGCGAGCAGAGACTCTACGTCCTGGCGGAGAAACGCATCGTCAGTGACCAAGTTCCCGTGGTAAATCTTGGAAATATTGGAAGAGTTTACCTTTGCCCTCCTCTCCATGCCTTAGGGAAATGGCATCATGGCATCCCGGAGCTCGTTTGTTAGTGCCGTAGCAGTGACAAGCAGGAGAATAGCTGTTTAAGCGGACTCAAAAACGACATGCACCTAACAGATATACTTACATCATAGGTAAGAGTCCTGTAAGAGGTATAGGCGCGAAGCTCTGATCTAGGCGCCCCATATTAGATAATGGAATTCATGACTAATATTGCCGAGGAACTCAGCTGGTGACATCTCTGAATCCCTTATGCCACCAGTAGCCGAGAGTACATGTAAGATACATGTACATGCACGAGAATCACAGTAGTAGGTACAATGACAAGTTACTTTGCAGCTCTGGTTAATCCTTGATATAATAAGGTATAATCTGCTCTATGTGGTATTATTCTAAACCAGTTCATCTATTTCGTCTCTGAAATCGGCATGAAGTTGTGATAAGATGTAGAAAGGCTTTGTGGCTTTTGGTTGTAGCACTGAGCTCTTTGCAAGTTCCATACAGCCAATTGTCGTCTCACAGCTCGTGTCATCGTCAATGCTGCTTATTGCCACGGCCTGGAGGCTTGATATTTTCATTTGCTTCTTCTTCAAAGCAATTGATCCTACTTCTCGCCTTCTACGATATGTAATGATTCGGCCCGAGTCTCTCCTCTGAGAAGTTCCCAGGCTCAATTCCTCGTCAGAGTCCCAGCAAGCTTCGGTTTCCACATCATTCTGCTTTGCCGGTTTGGCGGATGTGCCATCATCTCGGCCAATTGCTTTCTTGGGGCTGGGCAGCACCCATTCGCTAATCCCCTCTTCCCATCGCCATCCAGAGAAGATAGTGCTGAACTTTGCATTGGCAGGGTTGGTAACAGGTAGACTCTCCGCAAAAGTCAGATCTCGAAGATCCTCAGTTTTCTGAGCTAGCATAAAGGCAACGTCTTTCTGAAACTCGCGGCCTAGCCAATTAGGCAGTTTTCGGCGGCTCAGGCTTGAACAGACATCGGAGAGTATCTCCTGAGTCGAAGCTGTGCTGCTACGGCGGCGACATTGAATAACGGTACATAGAAGAATAACGGTATGCTGGTATTGTAAACCATTGTTCGTACCAGTGTCAATTTTGTGGGCCATATTCTCAAAGTCTTCTGCAGCCCGCCTTTTAAAAGCTGAGCTCGCAAGACTTGAGTTTGTCACCGCAAGATAGCGTGCAAAAACGAGCAGAAACGAGGCATTGTCTGGAGGGCTCTTACGGCTCCTATACCGTGCAATAAGTGAGATACTGCATTCAAGCACATAGAATAACCGTCTCCACGCTGCTTTTCTTTGCTCACGTTCTCCAGGAATAACTTGTGCCTCCAAGGTTAATGCTGCGACCGCCAAACCGGCCACAACGCGGATAAGAGCTTGTTCGATGGCACAGCAGTCAACGTCTTTGGGCCGACTGCCTCGAGCAAGGGTCCATATAGCTATGCACATAAATTCCACAATGTGTGGCTTCGCGTTTCCAGAAGTTAGGCCTTCAAGGCTAGAAATCCAGAAACTAGAGAAGGCTCGTGTAGAAAGCCAAGATGACGAGATAAATCCTTTATTGATCAAGGTAGAGACACATTCAAAAACGGGGCCGGGTATTTTCTTTCCTTTATATGGATTCAACAATGCCCAGAGAGATGAAAAGTCCCTATTGTCGTTGAGGTGAGTCGTCCCAGCTCGGAATTTAGACATTTGGCATTTATTTATCGAGGCCACAAACTGAGCAGCCTCCTCGTTGCCGTTTAGATGAATGCAGAGTTGTACGAGGATATTGCTGAATTCCGGTCGGAAGAGTCCATCTAAGATGGCATTGGACAGGAGATGCACGGCTTGGGAACGGACCACAAGCCTTAGGGGGCGCCATCCAGAGCTGCTGGATCCCAACGCTTCCAATTGATCAAACAAATCAGAAGCTGCATCAGACATGTCCCATACTGATTCGACTCCGCTCTCTTTTAATTGTTGCCGATCCCATGCATCTATGTCAGCAATGCATGCCGGGATTTTGCGTAAACACATAGCAAGTAATGATTTGCCGCGAGCATGCTTTCCTTGGAGGGCTGTTGAGTGTAATAATCGGTTTAGCCAGTGGAATATTGCTTCATAGTTGCGATATAGATCGCTAGGAACATGTCGGCGGATCGAATTTAACTCGTCGACTATTTCGGGTGGAAGAGAATCCAGTAAACCGTATTCGATATCGATATTCTTCGCCGGCGTGTCGATATGATCCCGGATCTTACGCCAAACTGGGGTGCGAAAGTCGACTAGTTCGGATGTCGGAGACAAGTTCCCCAGCTTCATCGCCCCAAGGGTACGGACTGATCTCTGAGGAGTTGTTACAGTTTTGTCTGTAATGGAGGCCGCTTTCTTTGGCCTTTGGCCATATGTAGAGCGGACGCGCTTTACCGTCGATTCTTGTCCATTATCTGAAGCTCGTTTGGATCCACTTGAGGGCGCAGGTCGATTTTCTGATATCAATCGTCGAAGGCAAGCCAATCGAGACTGAAGCTGGCGGAGCAGGCGTTGGCATCGGGCGGCAGTCCAAGGTTGGGAGTTGTCCGAATCTAGGCCTCTCGAGCCTGTTGACAATCGCGATCTCGTGCCATGGCGTTGAGATGACGGCGCAGGTCTCGCCGCCTGCGCCAGTGAATCCATAAAGCAATACTACTAGTAGCAACCAAAAAAGAAACTTTAATAGTGATAAGAACAAAAAAGAAAATAGAAAAAGATATAAAGCAACCGTCTAGCCCAGCATCTTGGACGTCGTGTTGTATCAATGATGCTTTTGCAGAGGTAGCGGCACAGGCCTCTGTTTACTTTCTTCCCTTTTCGCACTAGAGCGCGGCCAAGTCCAGCTAGGGTCCAAAACTTGTGGGGTACTAAGCGTACCTCTATGATTTTCGTAGCCGAATCAAGTACTGCCCATGTACCCCGCAGCTCCGAATTGCCGGACCATAGTCCAAAAACTTTTTTCTTTTTCTTCCGGTGCCGTTGTGGGTGACTGACTCTTTTGCAACCCAATTCCTCAAGACGTCCCAGTCATTTCCGATCAAGATTTAAATGACTGGTCTCTTTATTCACTCTCCAGTACCTCGTCTTTAACCGTCCCGCTTTCTCAATTCCCCCCCTTGTATGACAATGGCGGCCGAAGCACAAGCAGCTGCGTCTTCCTCTCCAGGTAAAGAGGTCCCGTGTACAAGGCCAAATCGACGAACCAACTGACCACCGGCACCCCCCTGTAGCTAATGCTGTTGACGAGCCTCACGACAACGCTATGTCTGCTCCTGAGAAAGCTGTGATTGAAGGGGAGGCGGAGGCGGAGGCGGAGGTCGATGCTGCGGCTGAAGGTATATATTCTCTACAATCCATTGCGGGTTATGAGCTGCTCTAACACTGCTCATGTATAGCTGTGATCAACCTCACCATTGTCCTTCCCGATCCCGAGGCCGAAAAGCTGCAAATCATGGTGGGCATTTAACCAAGTTTTACACCTCATCGCTTACTTGCCATTAACGCAGCCCCATAGGTTTCAACCCAAGAGCAAGTTCACGAGATTCGACAGTCCATCATCGACTTGCCAGCAGCATTCCAGTACACATGCTTCCACCTTGAGTTCCAAGGCCAGAAGATCAATGATTTCATTCCCTTGGCCGAGATCCCCGATCTTGGTACTGAGCCGGAATTTCGCTTGGTCCCGGACCCATATACCGAGAAGGAGGCCCGTATTCATCTGGTCAGAATCCGAGAGCTGATCGGTGCCGCGGGCAACCGCTCCGATGCTGCACAGGGCATCCTTCCCGGACTGTCGTTGTACGAGTCTGTGACCAAGAACCTGTCGACCCAGGCCGAGGGTAGCGAGGATCAGCCCCTTGCCAAAGACTATGATTTCCAAGCTACTCCTTCTATCACTACCCTTGTCCCTGAGCCCATTGAGCCGGCGCCCAAGACGATCAAGATGGTAGCTCTCTCATCGTGGAACCCTCCGCCTTGCCACCTGCAACAGCGTGGACACCTGCTCTACATCGTTGTTACTACCAACGAAGGCGAGCAGTTCCAAGTCACTGCTCACGTGTCCGGCTTTTTTGTCAACAAATCCTCCAACGCCAAGTTCGACCCCTTCCCACGACCTGCACCCAAGGGTCAGTCATCACACTCCCTGTTGAAGCTGATTGAGCTCCTTTCGCCCTCTTTCGCCGCCTCTTTCAAAAGTCTCCAGGACTACAACAGCCAAAGGGATCCGTTGGCTACGTTCCAAATCACCAACGCCATCCCCAACTCACCCTGGGCTCTGCCGTCTCCCAGCTCTACTCTCTGCACACATTCTCCTGATATCACGAGGCCTCAGGAAACATATCTGTTGGCCGGCGTTGACAACACCGACACACTGCGTGACTGGAACGAGGAGTTCCAATCGGCAAAGGAACTGCCGAAGGAGTCCGTACAAGACCGGGTATTCCGTGAGCGCTTGACATCGAAGCTTTTCGCAGACTACAACGACGCCGCCGTCAAGGGCGCAGTGTTGATTGCCCATGGAGAGATTGCGCCTCTGAACCCAACAGAGACCAGGGATGCACAGATTTTCGTCTACAACAACATTTTCTACTCCTTTGGAGCAGATGGTGTCGGCACCTTTACCTCCGAAGGTGGCGATGAGGCCGCCCGTGTTGCTACAGGAAAGGATGTAGCGGGTGTGCAGTTGGTCAACCAGCTGGACATTGACGGCCTGTTTACTCCCGCCACTGTAGTTGTTGACTACCTGGGTAAGCGCATTGTTGGCCAGAGCATTGTTCCAGGCATCTTTAAGCAGCGCGAGCCCGGAGAGCACCAGATCGACTATGGTGCGGTTGATGGAAAGGACGTTGTTGCGATTGACGACCGGTTCACCACCCCCTTCTCTCAGCTTTCCAAGGCCCTCAAGGTGAAGGAGCACCCTGTCTGGGACAAGGATGGCAAGAGATTTGACCTCGAGGCCAGCGTGGAAACTAAGGGTTTGATGGGCACGGACGGCCGTAAGTACGTTCTTGATCTGTACCGAATTACGCCCTATGATGTCGCATGGAGGGAAGAGACGGAAGCCTCAGAGTATCCTCACAGGATGACGGTGCTACGACCGGAGTTGGTGGATTCTTTCGGGCGCTATCGGATGAAGCAGTGGATTGATGCTGAATTGGCTCGTCGCGCCCCGCCAAAGTCAGAAGACGCTTCGGCCGAGCCTTCAACCGAGGCAAAGGACGAGGCCAAGGACGAGGCTAAGGAAGAGACCAAGGACGAGACCAAGGACGAGGACAAGGACGAGAAGAATGAGGTTGCGAAGACAGATGCTGCTGAGGCTGAGAAGAACCAGCCCAACCTATCTGATTTCAAGTTCGCCCTCAACCCCGACGCATTCAGCGGACAGACTCCTCGCACTGAGGAAGAGAAGGCCGAGCTCGAAGCCGATGAGCAAGAAGTCAGGGCTGCAGGAGAATACCTGCGTGACCGAGTGATTCCGGAATTCCTGCGCGAGCTCGTTGATTCCGACATCAGCTTCCCCATGGATGGCCAGTCCCTTGGTCGCATCCTGCATAAGCGAGGTATCAACATCAGATACCTCGGAAAGATCACGACACTCGCCGTCAACGATCGACTCCGCTGCCTGCGCGAAATCTGCATCCAGGATATGGTTGCTCGTGCGTTCAAGCATGTCTCCGCCACCTACCTGCGTTCGCTTCCCGCCCCATTTGCGCCTTCTTGCATTTCTCATCTCCTGAACTGCCTTCTAGGCCATCGGTTCAACGCCAAGCCTGTAGCAGATATCGACCAAACCTTCCGGGAGCTGTACCCCGAAGCTGATTTGTCATTCGAATCAGCCACCCCTGAGACGCTGCGAGAGCAGATTGAGGAGCAGGTCCTGAAGCGCTTCCGTTACCAACTTGGTGCAAACTGGTTCGACGAGGTGCGTCCTGTGCAGCTGCTCCGTGATATCTGCATCAGAGCGGGTGTTCAGGTGCTGGCAAAGGACTATGTGTTTGAGAGTGGTGTCATCGCTGCTGCCCCTGTCGCCGCTGCCCAGCCAGAGCAGACCAATGGCCAGACGAGCAGCGAAACAAAGAGCAAGAAGAAGAAGAAGGCAAGAGAAAGCTCTCCAACAACTCCTCCAGCTCCTGAAGTCATCTCTACCTTTACCCCTGACGATGTTCTGAACGTTGTACCGGTGGTCAAGCACTCATGCCCCCGAAGCTCTCTTGCAGAGGAAGCCCTGGAGGCGGGCCGTATCTCCATCCTTCAGAACCAGAAAAAGCTTGGACAGGAGCTGCTGCTGGAATCTCTGTCTCTTCACGAGCAGATCTACGGCATCCTTCACCCAGAAGTTGCAAAGGTCTACAACAGCCTATCGATGCTGTACTATCAACTCGATGACAAGGAAGTCGCCGTTGAGCTGGCTAGGAAGGCCATCATTGTTTCCGAGCGCACTGGCGGTGTCGACTCTGCTGAAACGCTTCTCAACTACTTGAATCTCAGTCTCTTCCTGCACCAGGTTGGTGATAGCAAATCAGCTCTGGCCTATTCCATCCACGCGCTCAAGCTGTGGAAGATCATCTATGGACCTGGTCATCCAGACTCGATCACGACCATCAACAACGCGGCTGTTATGCTGCAGGGTGTCAAGGCTTACCACGAGTCCCGACTCTGGTTTGAGGAGTCTCTGCGCGTATGTGACTCCGTCTTTGGCAGACAGTCAATCAACTCCGCCACTCTTCTCTTCCAGTTGGCGCAGGCCCTCGCGCTCGACCACGATTCCAAGGCGGCCGTCAACAGGATGCGTGAGTCGTACAACATCTTCCTCACCGAACTGGGTCCGGAAGACAAGAACACCAAAGAGGCCGAAAGCTGGCTGGAGCAGTTGACCCAGAACGCGGTCTCTATCGCCAAGCACGCCAAGGATGTGCAAGCAAGGCGCATTCGATCAGGCATCAAGTTCCCTGTTGCCACAGCCGCACAGTCTGCTGGCGCAGCGCCCCAGCGTGGAGCGGCGTCTCAGATCGATTCCCGCAGCATCGACGAGCTCCTGAAATTCATCGAGGGCAATGATACATCCAAGACGGGCTCTAAGAAGCGACCCGGACGCGGAAACCCCAAGAGACGAGGAGCGACGAAATAAACACCTATGAGCGTGCCACTTGAAGCAGGCGTGAATTTTTCTTTCGCCGAAACTCGATGTTGATTATGTATTTAACGAGATGTCATGGTTTCATGAATGGGTATGGGCACAGGCTTCAGGACAAGGGATGGTGGCTGAATGAATGGAATTCCTCATGCCTGCGGATGTATACTTTGGGCCTTTGGGGAGTCTTCATGAGTGTATTATATAGTGTTTGGGGGGAAACAAAAAAGAAGCGGAAAAAAGCAAGGACCATGTATATCTACGTATCATATAGTTGGCTTCTGACACTTGGAAGCAGATGTTGAACAAAATACCTCACTCATTAACGAACATAAGTCTTTTCAGACAATCACAAATGCATTCTCTACGGGTCCAGCTCATACGATGAACATTAATAGAAAAAGCAAATATAAAAAGATCATGTCTGAAGAGCATCATGTTCTCTCTTCAGTCGACAAATAACTTGGTACAAAGCAACTGTTCAAATACAACACATGTGCCAGCAGCATGTGGTTGGCAATAATGCGTAGCAAAACTGCGTGACTCGATTGATACAGTGGCCGCCTATAAACCAGGTATCATCCATCTCCTCCTACCAGCCAAAACACCAAAAGACATCGTTGACAGGACATTTTTTGCGCCCCTCAGGATTTGCCCAACTCATACGCCGCACCAACGTTCCCATTGTCCTTAAACCGTTCCATATAGACGTACAGACCTAAAATGAAGAAAAACAAGACGTAAAACATAAAACATAAAACATAAGAGAGTGAGTGAGTGAGTGAGCAGTCGTTAAAAGATGCACCGTTTCATGAACCGCCCTTCAAGGCCGCGCCGATGGAAACGCCTCTTTCTACAGGAGCATGGTATGCGCCAATACTTTGAAATCCTCTAAATGATATTCAGTCAGTGTCAAAATTAGGAGAAAATGATACATCAAGACGTGTAAGGGTATTGTAGATACGTACTTCATCAAATCAAATCCTTGTTCTTCCTCGGCCTCATCCGCAGCATCTGAAGGTTCCTGCTGGCCAGATTTCTGCGGTCGAGACGGACTACTTGGCGGTGACTTGCCAACCGCAGGGGGGCTACTGCTTTGAGTACGTCCCTCTCTAGCAACTCGCGATGGACTGACTTCGTATGGCGCCAGCGGCTTCAGCGGCGTGCTGCCAATGTCGGCATATTTCCAAAAGGGCGCCGGAGAGCTGGTCGGCATATGCTGGCTGGGCCGCTGCGCAGTGCTGGGAGGTGCAAGCTTGGGATGGACCCTCGGCGGCGCCGGCGTAATGAATGACGCATTATCATCTTGCATATACGACGACGTCAGGGTCGGCGACTGAGGATGGAACCCAGAAAAGGATGAGTCGCCTGCCATTGATTTTCTTGGTCGCGGCAGGGGGCTTCCGTCCGCAGTCAAAGCCGAGCTCCGGTCCGTTTGTCGCCCATATCCGCGATCCGGCGTCGACTGTATGGCGCGGAGGGATGATTGAGGGGGCGGCGATACAAGCGACGATCCTCGCCTCTTTTGCGCGGATGAGGGATCCCGCGCCAGGATATCTTTTGGGCCGTGGGTAATGTAATTCAACTGGCTCGGTGACGATGGCACGGACGATCCACGGTGGCCTCCACGTCCTATTTTGTACGCATTCCTCACCATTTCGTCCCGCGTCTCGGGAACGATGTGCCACTTCATTCCTTTTCCAGGCTCGTCGGTAGACCGGGCGACCTTGTCAAACGATTTATTAAGCGACAGGTTGTGTCTAATAGAATTCTGCCTCTCAAGGTCAGCGCGCGTCAAAACAAAAACAAAACATGCCGATGCAACCAAGCTACTCACCTGCCAACCTGCCGCGTGCTGGTGACGATAATAGGAATAGCTGTTCATGATAAAGTTATAGATGCCATTTAGATTGAGCTTGCCGTCTGGCGCATTGAGAATGGCCTGTGTTATCATCTGGGCATAGCTGTACTGGGGCTTGATATGCTGGTTGTCATCAAGACTAAGGTCTACACCACTGGCTCCAAGAAGGCCTCCCGGAGTGCTCGCTGCGGCGGGAGACTTGACAATCGTCGCCGCGCTACGGTCCTGCGATGACGTCGGCGTACCGGGCCTCTTCAAATCTACCTTGGCCGGCGTGCCCGGGGCGTACTGGCGAGGCTGCGCAGCCTTTGGCGTATCGGTGCCCCGTCCGCACCGCTGGAGAAAGGTGGGATGGATATGCAGCCCACTGATTTCCGAAGGAAGCACAAACATCATCTCGACGTTGCCAATCTCGACGACCTCTCCACTTGTCAGAGGGTGCGAGGTCTGCGGCTTGATTATCTGGCCGTCCACCTTGGCGCCGTTGCGGCCCTTGACGTACAGCATCCAGCTCTCGTCGTCGGCGTCGAACGTGATCGTCGCATGCTCGCGCGACACCATCTTGCCCGGGCCGAGATCGATATGCACGGCATTTTCATCGCTGGCCGGCCCGGCATGAGACGGCTCCGGCGCGCGCCCGATATTGACGTTGAGCTTGGTGATGTAGTACGTCCAGTCCTGCGCCGCGATCTTTGCATATGCCTTGACGCCGTCGCCGTGGGCCTCGTGGATGGCGTTGGAATGGTCCTTGCTCGCCTGGACGGGCTGCATCCGGAGCTGCTGCGTCACCTGCGCCACCAGCTGGTCGTTGTCGGCTCTGGGCGACGACGAAGACTCCTGCGCTTGCGACGGAGCGCCGGCTGGGACGGTGTCGGCCTGGTCTGGCGAGGGAGCTCTCTTGCGCCGCTTGGCGGGACGGCTGGGCGACGAGCTCTCGAGGTCTGCGGCGATTTCCTTGTCCTTGCGAAGGTCGCGCCGCCCGCGCTGGCCTCTCTTGCCCGATGGCGGCATCGTCGGCGTGTGTATGGAATCCTGGTGCTCGAGGGCCAAGGTTGGAGGGGGAGGGTCGTTTGCGAACTCGAAGCTGCGGAGATCTCGCTGGAGAGCTTAGAATAATATTTTTCTTTTTTTTTTTCTTCCTGCGTCTTTGCTTGATACTCGCTTCAACAGCCGGCGGGCGGTCGGACGACGGTCTGAAAGCGGCGCATGCGAGGCTCCAGAGCCTGCGGTCAAGTTTGTGCGCCCCAGGCTGGCATTTAAAGGAAAAATGCGGTGCTTGCAACTAAGAGGCAATGAATCAATCTAGAGCTGCCATAATTCTGATGGCTTGCTCAAACACAATCGCGTTCGCGTCGGGCGACCCACCACTTTAGAGGTGGGAACTTTAAAGTGGCCAGAGGTACCTGGGTACATGTACATGCGAGGCTGGTATTTTCGTTAAGTGTTGGATGCAGGGCGCAGCAGCAGAATCACGGTCAGCAGCTACCTGGGGTACCTGTTGGAGGGCGTACATGTACTGTAAGGCCTCAATGTTCTTTGAGAGTCTCAGACATGCGTGCTGGAATTCGCTCATGCGACGAGAAACCTTGGGATTCTCTGCCTGTTATCCCTTGTGACCAAGTACCTTTACCCTTCAGTACGAGTTTCAGGTACTTGGAACCTACCGATCGATGTACAGTACAGTGTCATTCAAAATGTAAAACAAAGCTTTGGAACACACACAAAAAAGGGCAAGGCTTTTACAGAGTTTGAGTACGTCCAAGTTACAAGCAGCGCTGCTGTCACAAACACATCTGATACTTGTACTTGCGCTGTACTTGCGCTGTACCATGTATTGTATCGCATGCTCAGGGATCCGATCGCTTCGACTTGGCCAAAACACAGACCAGGTTGCTCGAGCTCGATACCTTGCCAGTGCCTTAGCATTAGCACCTTTCATGCATATCATCCCTGCTGCTTTAGCGCCGGCCCGATGCTCTGAGGCGGAAAATTGCTTTTCCTATCCGCAAGCCTTAAGCTGCGCGCGCATCCTGGCCAAGCCAAAGTGGTGGGATTTCTGAACTCTGGCAAGCCGATTATTTGACATTTTGGACGTGTTTTTTTTTGTTCCCTTTTTTTTTTACGCAACGCAACAAAAAAGGCGGGCATCGGCAGTGCATTTGCCTGCTACAGTCTCTTTCGAAGCCACCAAAGCAACAAGCCGCCCAAACATCACCCAGCAGAACTATACGAAAGCCTCGTATCCAACTCGGATACTCACACTCTCTTGGCTGGAGACGATGCTATTGAGCCCATCGGCTTCGATCGCGATACATCATGGCTAGCGAGCAGGTCTACGGCGTCACGCCACCAATCTCCGTCACCCTCCCCACCGAGGCAGAGAAGCGTGCCAGCGATGCCCTCATCGAAGAACTTCGGCGCCAGAAGACTTTCGAGAGCCCATCAGACACGGACAAAAGGCATGTCGAACGCGCGCGGCCGCATACCTTAGTCCTTCTCGCTGACTGTCTGAGTCATTTAGATATAAAGTTCTTGCTTCTCTGCAAGAGATTTGCAACGAATTCGTCCGAAAAGTAGCCAGGGAAAAAGAGCCGAAAAATGAAATCCTCATCAAAAACGCCAGGGGCAAGGTGTTCACGTACGGCAGTTTCCGCCTTGGGGTCTTTGGACCTGGCTCGGATATCGACACGCTCATCGTCGCGCCCAAATACGTCACTCGAGAGGACTACTTCAAGCACTTCCCCGACCTGCTCGTCTCAATGGCGCCTCCAGGATCCATCACCGATTTGACCGTCGTCACGGATGCCTTTGTGCCCATTATTAAATTTGAGTACTCCGACATCAGCATTGATCTAATCTTTTCTAGAATTATACAAAAGCAAATATCCCCGGACTTCGATAATCTCAAAGATTCCAGCTTGTTGCGCGGTCTAGACGAAGCGGAGCTGCGATCCTTGAACGGCACTAGAGTGACGGACGAGATTCTTGCTCTAGTTCCCGAAGAGAGCACGTTCAAGCTTGCCCTGCGAGCCATCAAGCTATGGGCGCAACGTCGGGCCGTCTACGCGAACATTATGGGTTTTCCCGGCGGTGTCGCTTGGGCGATGCTGGTGGCTCGTGTTTGCCAGCTGTATCCCAAGGCTGCCACGTCAGTCATAGTCAACAAGTTCTTCTTGGTCATCGGCCAGTGGCGATGGCCACAGCCCGTGCTTCTTAAACCCATAGGTAGCGGTCCTCTTCCAGTCCGCGTGTGGAATCCCAAGGTACGTATTTGAAGGACTACCCCTGGTCATCTTTAGATACATGCTGACCCGGCTACTGCTCCCTAGGTTTATAAAGGCGATTCGTTCCATCTGATGCCCGTCATCACCCCAGCCTACCCTTCGATGTGTGCAACATTCAACATTACTCGATCCTCCATGTCGGTTATTCAACGCGAGCTTCGGCGCGGATTGGAAATTTCTGAGCAGATCATGGTTGGCAAGAGGCCGTGGAGCGACTTGTTTGTCAAGCATACGTTTTTCACGTCTGGCTATAGATATTACATCTCCGTGGTGTCTGCAAGCAAGGACAAGGAAGCCCACAAGGTATGGTCGGGATATGTAGAGTCCAAGGTTCGTATGCTTGTGCAAAAGTTGGAGCAGCATCCCTCAATTGCACTTGCACATGCGTTCAACAAGGGATATGATCGACGACATCGGTGCAAAAACGACCACGAAATCGAGCAAGTGCAAGAGGGTAGCCTCGAGTTCATGATCAAGGAAGAGAGTGGCAGTCAGTCTGGCGAAATAGAACCCAAGCCAGAAGTGAAGGATGGCTCTGCCGAAACTTCGTCCCCAGTCGAGGTCTTCACCACTACTCACTATATTGGCCTCGAGCTGGAAGAGGGTATGTTTCCTCTTGCTCCATTCGTTGTCTTGGCCCTCCATCCATCGAATTCTTGTATGATGCTGATTTTACAGGTGCCAAATCTCTTGATCTATCATACCAGGTTGACGAGTTCAAGGTCCTGTGTACTCAGTGGAAAAAGTATCAGGAAGAGCTCCAGCCGTCCGTATCTCTAGGTGTGCAGCACGTTCGAAAGTAAGCTCTCCCACTGCTTTCTCCTCAATTACCAAGGATATGAGTTGATAGTCAGCAAAGCTTCAACCTCCCAGATGACGTCTTTGATCCCGGAGAAGAGAAGCCTCAGAAGAAGAGCGCTAAGAGCATGGCAAACAAAAAACGAGGCCCGCCAGAGGTAATACTATCGCATCGACTATTCGCCCCGCGCTGTGGGATGCGATACTTTCGTCCAACCTCCTGAGGAGGGAGAATGAATACTGACACATTGACAGGACAACCCCCCGCCGGCGAAGAGACAGCAAGCCTCGGTTGCAGCCGCTGGCTGACGAAAACAGACATTGTGTCTCGGTTCAAGCCTTGGTTTCGGTTTGGACAAATGTTTTGCTGAAATTTCACGCTGACGTTAAGGAAGTGGATGCGTTTCCCTCCCCCCATCCGCCGTAATTCTGGCTGTTCTTTACCTGGCAGCCCAATCCCTGCGACCTCACCGGCTTCGTGGTTTTCCAGTTCCCGTTATTTTTCCTTCTTTTTTCTTCTTTACTTCCCCCTTTTTCAATCTGTCCTTTTTTTTTAAAACGTATACCACCATACTGAGGCAGGCATACGAGGTACATAATTAAAATGGCGCCTAATCTGATATTAGCAGGACGATGAGAGCTGGTACTCGCGGTTTTACCGCCTCACACCGCATATTCTACGATTCCGTAGCGATTATCCTTCGGTCGTATCTACACTGACACAAGAGGTCTTCTGAGATGATTTTCTTTTTTCTTTTTTCTTTTTTTTCTCTCTTCAGATTTGCATTTAAATCCATACTAGGGGTTAAATTTAGATAGAGTTGGCTTGCCACGAATGCAATTATATTCTGAGACATTGAAAGCTCGCCTTTGAGGTGGTGATATTTGTGAGACAATGCTCCCTTGGTAATTACAAAGTACAGTACAGGTACTAGCTACCCCAGCTAGCCATGTTCCGTTCCTGTCCTTCCTTTGTCCGATCCATGTGCTTTTAGCATGGGCCCATTTTGTATGACTCGCATTCTTTGTGCCCGCTCCTTTACAAGATGAATCTCATCCCTGGTTTTGAAGTAGGTGAAAACGAAGTGGTGAGGTGAAACTTACAGCTTAAGTCCAGGGCCATTTCATCAAAGGTCGTCGTCATCCTCATCGCTGCCGCTCGACCAGTCATCCTCATAGGCAGCCTCGAGCTCCGCCAAGCCGTTGACCAAGTTCTCTCGTTCCTCTAGTGAGATGAATGGGGCTACTTGCGAGCGCAAGTTCCTCATCTTGTACACGATCGAGCCGTCTGAGGCCATCGATGTGCGTACCGGGATGCTTTCGCGGCCTTGGAGGTCGTAGTTGTATATTGAGGGGAAACTGTCGAGAAGGGGGTAGAGCAGAGAAGTTTCGTAGCTGAGAGGGGGTTTGGTTAGGTTTTTGTGTAGCTTCATGATGTATTTAATGACGCAGTCGTGCTGATTTTGTAGAGTTAATGAAGAAGGGGGGGGGGGGGGGGGGGGGCTTACTTTCGAACAACAGTGTTTCCGATGATGGGACGCTGGTTCGTCTTAGATTCAGCAGATTCTTTGCTTGAGTCATCGGATCCTCGAAGACATGACAGCCGGCCAAACGCCCGATTACTGCTGCCTGGCTTCTTGATTCCGTCTTTTGAACTTCCAATCTGTGACAAGCCCAGCTCTGGAGGCTCATCTGCGTCCAGTTCGGCCTGTGGCCCAACAGCCATGCGCATATTCGCCAGAGTTTGTCGGCCAGAGACATTCAAGCACTGCGCCATATCAGCCATGCCGAGAGGCTGCGAGCTCCCATCGAGACGCAACCGAGATTGCAGCGAGGCGCTCTCTGTAGCTGTGGCGAGAAGAGCAGAGACATTCCACGCCGAACTGCTGTCCACGGTTATGCCTGACGGAATACGAGTGTCTGGCACAGCCAGGGGCACCACCATGGAGGCCTGGGCACAGGCTTGGTTGAGACTCATGGCCGTGTTGGCCAGCCGCAGTCGTCGCTTTTCCCTCGCAATCGTCGCCACGGGACTCTGCAGCCCCCAGACCCAGATACACGTCTTGGGATGCTCATCCCGCAACATCTCGAGATACGAGCTGGCGAACCCTCCCCAGGCGTCGTCCAACGTGGTGTAGACCTGCACGCCCTGCATCTGGTCGCACTCCTCCACAAACGGCCGCCAGTCTCGGTCAACCATTTCGTTTTCCTTCTCCAGCGACTCGAACAGCTCGGTGCCCGTTTCGAAGCGCTCAAACGGCATGAGGCTGGAGTTCAACTCAAAGTCATAGAGCTGCACGAGCGACTTGGGGTGATAGTAGACCCGCGAATAGTCGGACCAGTACCGCACATCTGAGGCCTTGAGCTTGCCTGGCTTGACGCCAGCATCGAGATCCTTCTGGTAGTCGATTGAGGACAGCGGGCTTTGCTTATGAACCGCCGGTTGACCATGCCTATTTACATACGAAAAAGGCAACGGAACAGCACCTTAGCAAGTTGTATCACAAAGAACAGGAGAAACTCCCCAACGAAACATCTCATCAAGAAAACCCCCCAACCCCCATCCCCAGCTAAGAAACGCCCCAAGACTCACCATAGTGAAGCTAGAGCAACGTCATGGCCCGGCGCAACATCGTACATGGGATTGACCTTTCGAAGAGGCCCAAACGCGCCCTTCAAATCATAGACCACGGCCCGAGGCAGAAACGTGTCGGAGCCATCTTCGCCAATGCCAGCTCTCCAATGGATGTTGTGGTCCACGAGCGACTTTTCGTCTTCTGCATAAGTGAAGTAGGATTCTTGTGTGTTCCAAAAGTGTGTGGCGACGTAGTTGCTCAGATTCCCCAGCTGGAGGGTGACGATCTCACGCATAGCGTAGTATGTGTCCTATACAAAACTCAAGCAGAAACAGCGGTAAAAATATCAATAAGCTCCGGATGCTGATTTTGTGTCAAGCGCAGATGAAGGATGGCTGAATTTTCCTCACTCCGGAAGCTTTTCGCAACGACTACAGGGTAATTAATACAAGCTCGAAGCTTTCCTGGAGATCCGCCTGAAACTGTGTGCTGACTAATATTCACCAGCGACACAGCTTAATGAGAAGATGCAATATAAAACGGCATTGCTCTGTCTAGAGTCGTTTCGCAAATGAGCTAAATGGCCAATATAGATGGTGAAGATGTTGAATATTGGAGAGTAAAATTATTATATATCTAGACACATATACCGTCCACCTCATGATACGCTATTACAATTGTCGAGGTGTGATTTTACAGCCCTCATAATGCTGCCTGCAACAAGTGAGCAATGAATCTCCCCCAAGAAAAGTTGAAAACACAGACTTGAATATGAAGGGGCTAAAGAGAAAGAAGCAATGAAGTGGGGAGAAGAAGCCTCGGCCGTAACACCATGAAATACCTCAGCACCTCGACACCAATCCATCTGGACGAACAAGCCATGACGTGAAAAACCCGATGACTCCGATGCTGCTGACAAGCTCAAGAGTAACTCTGCTGTTACACTTGATTTGACTAGCCAGTCCCAACAGCCCGAGCGGATCCTGGTGCTGTGACACTACTTCCTGACGCTTTGATTTCTTGTGCTTCTGACGCCTTGATTTCTGATTCACTCTTGCCAGTGGCATGTCATTCATCGTCATACCTGGCCCGAGAAGTTGCATGGGTATCTCGCTAAGGCGTTCTGCCTCAAGACTCAGTCGCAAGCTCTCTGCCCAACTCGCCATTTCCAGGGGTCGATGGTACTGCTCAGGGAGGAAGGGACGCCCCCATGTGGGAGTGGACAAGGGGTACATGCTCATGGGCTGGCGGCAGATGAGCGCTGATTGCAGTGAGGAGCTGCTGGCTTTCTGTCGCCGCCATCTGACGCATTTGAGTGAGGCGGCATGCCGGAGTCTTGCGCTTCCATCCTGTGACATGAGCTGCTCCACGAGCCTATGGAGATCTGTAGAGACAAGAGGGCGTACATATTCTGAATTCATCAACACGCTGGCGTCCATTACATCGTAGTCAGAGTCGGAGATGCTCGAGACGGCATAGATATCCGATGAATCAGAAGACACTCCAGGGGCACTAAACGAGAAATATTCAACGTTCTTGTCACGCAGGCTATAATCGATGTTTTGTTTGGAAGCGATAGCATCGTCGTTGCTAATCTCATCGGCGCGGGCTAACAGGGGAATCACATTAGTTGTGTTTTGCAGCAGTCTGATTGTTTCTACATCTGCGGCTTCGGGGCCTATAGGTATCGTGTTAGAGTCAAGCATATTCAGTGTTTAGTGATCAACAAGTAACATACCGGTATGGGGCAGCAGATACAGTACTGCATCGACGATAGGCTCAGTCCCGTTGCTTAGAAGATTCCACAGGTCGCCATCACTGATTGGCCGGTGTAGTAATGGCATGAGCTGTGATTCGATATAACGAACGGCCGGATGCGCAGCCTCGGAAACTTGCTGTGGAGGGCAGTCCACAAAACAGAGATTACGGTCCAGCATCTCATCCATTGCTGAGCTTCTTCGCCTTGGGGCAAGAGAAGGGTCCAGCTCTGCTCTCCACCACGGGTAGGGGCGGGTGCTAGCATATACTTCGGACACTTGGCCCTTGTCGTGATTTGTAACGGGGTCAACATGAACAATATGCTCGCTGCACTGTGCGATAGCCGTGATTAGAGTTGATTTTCCGATCCCTATTATACTCTGGTTAGCAATCCCTTCCCCCCCAAGCATCAGAACCAAGGGAAACACACCATCTGGGCCTGTCACCAGAACCTTGAGCTTTCCCAGCGACTTTCCCGTGTCTGAAAATGGCCGGCGCCGCGGAACCGTTAGGCTGGGCATGATGAGCTGTGGCGTATGGCTTCCTGCGAGGCCATCTGTGGCATGCTGATAGAGGCCGATGCCGCCTTGGTGAGGGCCGATTAGACTTAGAGTGGAGCTGATTCGGCTGGCAGACATGGAGGCAACAGGCGAGCTCATGGGCGACGAAGTTGAGCTGATGACGGACTCGGGGCCGGGAGTCCCCAGCATGACGGGAGTCATTGGCCTGGAGAGGTCGTGAGGCGTCTCGCCGCCTGGCTGGGACGAGAGAGACGGTGAAGGCCACGAGATGGAGGTTGAGGCTGACATGTTGGATCGATGGCCGCTCTTGCCGGCGCGAGCATTTGGCTCATACTCGGTCTTGTACGGGAACCGCTGTGTCGGGAAGCTCATCTCGCTCAGATCACTGATTGAATCCTCGGTTCCGACAAAGTACGTCATTTGGGGAATCGTCGCATTTGGCGTCAAACTGTCGGGGCGCCCATGATGGGCAGATGCGCCGCCGCTGGCCGGAACTGGTCGCATGTTGTGCGCGAGTCTCCGGCAGTGGGCAGGTCTGGGAGAATCAAAGAACGACGATGTCTGGAGAGGACCGACCAAGCACTTTGTTGAAGCAAAAGGCGATGATGGCTGACGTGTGATTTAGAGTTGTTCGATCGTTGGGGAGACTTTCGGCCAGTGATTAACGCGACAGCGCAGTGTTGAGCAAGGTATGGGTACCGTCTCACCGAGTACTTTGCAAGTATCCTGGGTGGGCGTTGCGGTGGAGATACGTGACGAAGGAGAGCGGGGAACGACTTCCAGGTACTTTTTGCATCGTACTCCGTACTTTGTCCAGGGATCGGATGTAAGTCGTTCAGTTGAGTGACAGCCACTACTATATTGCCAGCTAAAGGTGCTCGTCTACCTAGGTATTCCCTCACGCCTCATCTCATTCGCTATTCGCGAAAAAAACCACTCACGAGGCCGCCTAGGTGCTGTACAGCTTTCCGCAATGCCCCGTGTCCTGCATCCGAAAGGAAGGGTGATGTGATACTGGCTGCATACCGCACTTCCAACGCAGTGACAAACTGCCCAAGCAGATGCAAGCTCGCACCCCGTGTTAGAAATACGCCCCTTTAAGACCCCTGGAATGCAGGGACAGCGCTCGACATTAGTAGATACGGCTTATCTAAGTGCATATCCGCGGCCCACAATAGCGGGGCAGCCTGATCCTCTTCTGTATTCCCATCTGGTGCTGCTAGCTTCCAGCCTCTTGGGGGAGACATCAACCGTTTCGAGTGTTGACTCATCTGGAGACAAGCAGACGAGCTGTTCGGTTGTCAGAGGCAAAGACGCGAGAAAGCACCGCCAAGATGGACGGCAAGAGACACCCCAGCTCGTTCCAGCAACTGGAGAAGCTCGGAGAGGGCACATATGCCACTGTGAGTCTGGTTCCCTCGCATCCCTCGCCTTGCGGCCCAAGAAGCACGTCGACTAACCGACAGCTGTTTGGCTTCTTGCTAGGTGTTTAAAGGGAGAAACCGCCAGACGGGAGAGCTGGTTGCTCTTAAGGAGATTCATCTCGATTCCGAGGAGGGAACGCCGTCGACTGCTATCCGAGAAATCTCGCTGATGAAGGAGCTCAAACACGAGAATATTGTCGGACTTCACGATGTTATTCACACCGAGAACAAGCTCATGCTTGTGTTTGAATACATGGATGGCGATCTCAAGAGATACATGGACACTCACGGCGAACGCGGCGCGCTCAAGCCCACGACAATCAAGTCCTTCATGTACCAGCTTCTCAAGGGCATCGATTTCTGTCACCAGAACCGAGTCCTGCATCGAGATCTCAAGCCCCAAAACTTGCTCATCAACAGCAAAGGATGCCTGAAGCTTGGTGATTTCGGTCTTGCCCGTGCCTTTGGCATCCCCGTCAACACCTTCTCCAACGAGGTTGTTACCCTGTGGTATCGTGCACCGGACGTCTTGCTCGGCAGTCGGACATACAATACGAGCATCGATATCTGGTCAGCTGGGTGCATTATGGCTGAAATGTATACTGGCCGACCCTTGTTCCCCGGAACTACAAACGAAGATCAGATTGTCAGGATATTCCGCATCATGGGCACACCCACCGAGCGTACGTGGCCGGGCATTACTCAGCTCCCCGAGTACAAGCCCACATTCCAAATGTACGCGACTCAAGATTTGCGAAACATTCTTCACGCCATCGACCCCAGCGGAATCGACCTGATTCAACGGATGCTGCAGCTTCGACCAGAGCTCCGCATAAGTGCTCATGATGCTCTGCAGCATCCTTGGTTCAACGATCTTGTTTTACAACAACAGCAACAGCAGCAGCAAGCAGCTCTGCAGGCTCAGGCACGGAGTTTCCAGCAGGCGGTCCCTTCACAAGGCTTCGACAACAATTACTAGGCATAGCCTGTGACGTATCCTGCTCGTCAGGATCCTGCGGGGCTGGCCTTTGGCAGCTGTAACTACATTGGCCAACCTCGGCCATTCTTCGATTGTATGGGAAAAAAAAATTGAAAGCCAACTCGTTATTACTCCTGGCTAGCGATCAAGACAGCATAATTGCATGCCTATATAAAATATGATCTACACATGTCCAGATGACGGTGTGGGAATACTACGGTCAGACTAGAGCTGTCGACAACAAATCCGGGCTTTGGCGGTGGCTGGATGATATGATATTACTGATACTGATAGTTTATCGGCCATGAATTTTTAGGGGGCAGGACAAGATATCCATCCTTTTTTAATAAGAAGCAAAAACCAAAAAAAATCTCATCTTGGGCTTCTCACTCCATCACGGGACAGGGGAGATTTTGCCATTGACTTTGTAGCGCTTGGATTCAGTGTCTATTGACAAGGCTACCATCTACAGGGCTCTTGAATTTACGTTTATTTGGCTCCTTGGACCACGTCTCGGCAAGGGCGGCTGTTTCATCTTCCTCGGGAGCGAATCCCAAACTCAGCCTAAGCTTCTGAATCTCGTCGCGTACCGCCTTGGCAACTTCGACTCTGAGCTGCACTGCCTCTGGATCGTGTCTCAGGAGATCGGGGTCGCCGCTTTTCTCGACAAGCCGCTTCCAAGCACTGCGATAGTGGCCAAAGAGGCTGTCGGTGTCGGTTGGTTTCCCAATCATGACTCGTACCCGCTGGCCTATGCGCGGCAGGAAACGCGGGAAGCCTCTCTCCTCGGGCATGATGTCCTGCGTGCCATGAATGAACATTGGGATAAACTCTGGGGCCGGGTCGCTCTCAAGAATCAGGCGGGATACGCCCCATTTGAAGTAGCGCAGGGTATTCTCGGGGTTCTGGTGGCAGCAGGCCTCGGGGAAGATGTGGACCCAGGCATAGTGGTTGGCTGCAAAGGCAGAGGGCGAGACGAAGGAGTCGGAGCCGGTGGTAGAAAAGGTCATGTCGGACGGCTTGATGACGGAGGAGGGGCTGGAGAGAAGCTTGATTGCCTGGGCAATGGTGGGCTGGTATAAGCCCCCTTGCGGCGAGTGCCACAAGCGGTGGGTGGGCAGCACCTGGCCGTAGCTGAAGAAGGCCGAAGTGAAGCGGTTCTTGAAGCAGATATCGTGGGCACCGAGGCCCCAGCGGAGGTTCTCGACATCGACGGCGTACCGCAGGGGGAGAATGCCCCAGATCAAGGGATCATCGAGCCTGGCTAGTTAGCAGAGTGATAACGCATTGACGGCTCTTCATTGAGACACCATACACGGAGACGTGGTTGCACACCGTCAGCAGGCCGCGCTCGCGCTGTCCGTTCTTGCGGCGGTCGAGCACGCCTAGCAGGTTGTCTAGCCCCGTAACCTCGACCTTGTTGAGGCCGTAGAGAAAGGCCCGCGATGCAGCCCCCACGGTGCTCATGACGGCCACCGAGGCAAACCGCCAGGGCGCGCCGGGCCGTGACGTGGGCGTTGGATTCGACGACATGAGCTGCGGCTACCTTAATGTTTGGCTGCTGCTTTGGCTCCGGCTCTGAGTTCCATGACAGGCACTTATGGAGGCCATGGTGGTGAGCAGCAACATATGGAGCAGATGGAGCCTCTTTTTTTTTTTTTTTTTTTTCTCTCTCTGTCTGTTCCTATTTTTTTTCTTGGGGAGCCAACAAAGTCTGGTGCTAAAGGCTGCAGCTAAGCCGAGCCCGCCAACAGCTACTCCAGCAGCTGTGCTTGTATAACTGCCAGTGATTGATCCAATACAATTGAAGATCCGGGGGGCCTGTCCGCTAGAAGCGCCCTATCAGGGTCCCGCTGGGTGCGCTGGAATAGCGCCCAATGCCTGGATCACACGCGCTCCGTAGTGGGCATGATTGGGCAATGGCCCGGAAGTGCACCTGCATAGAAATTTGGAAAGAGCTGCGGCCTGTTTTGCCCGAGGCCGGCATTCTCTGCTTTAGTACTAGTTCAAGCACAGCACGGGGTGGCTAATCCTAGATGGGCAGTATCATGACTTGCCCAAGCATCGCGCTGCTCCAAGCTAAGCTGCGATACTCTTTTGCACCTACATTCTACATTCTACATTACATAGGCACATTACATTACGAGAATTACCGGCCGGTGCTCAATCGTTTTGTTGCTACTGCTCGAATTGCCGGCGTTGTCGAATCCAGTGGAGGCAATTCGCTGCCACAATGTCACATAGTAGGCGGCTCTTGTTCTTTTGTGCTGGAGGGTATAGGCAGTTTGCAGCTGGAGCCAGTCCCAGAAGCTAACCAGAAAATCGCCCATGTATAGGCAAAAGAAATACGACTCGCCCGGTCTTCACCTCGTACGAAAGAGAGCAGGCCAAATCGAATTGGAGCTCCAAATCCGCCCAGCTCAGCCGAGACTCATTTCTGCCCTTTGGATTCTGCAGCCTCTGCCTGGAAAACGCCCGAGAGCCAGTCGCGTGCCCACGAGGGGACATTTTCTGCCGCGAATGTGCCCTGGAGAACCTCTTGGCGCAGAAGAAGGAGCTCAAGCGGGCGGAAAAGGCTCGCCAGAATGCAGAGAAGGAGGCTGCGAGGATAAGAGCCATTGGCGATGACGAGGAGCGCGAGCGAGCCATTCGCGATTTTGAGCTGACCCAGGCTGGGCTGACAGGCAACTCGGGCAAGCCAAGTTCGAGTACTGCAGCGGAGAATGAAAAGGAAGAGGCCAGTGTTCGCGCCGGGTCTAAGAGAAAGTTTGCGCTTGATGCGGATGAGCTTGACCGGATTGCAGAAAACGACAGAGCAAAAGCCCGGAAGGCAATTGATGATGAAAAGGTTAGGGGGAAGAGCTCACCAAGGTTGCTGCCATATCCAATATATGCTAATACTGTCATTCCAGGCAGCCAAACCATCGCTTCCTTCATTCTGGACACCCTCACTCACTCCGGATGTGCAAAACAGCGGCTTGGCCCCCGTCGCAAAGAAGGCCAAAACGATGCCCATCTGTCCTGCCTCTGCGGAGCATGACGCCCACTCCTTTTCTCTCCAGAAGCTGTTGAAAATCGAGTTTAATGAAACCACAGACTCCGCCACCAAGGAATCGCTCAGAACCTGCCCCTCATGCCTCAAGACCCTTTCCAACGCGTCCACTCCAATCATGGCGGAGAAATGTGGCCACGTCCTTTGCTTCAGCTGCGTCAAGCAGTTTCTGCTTCCTTCGGAGAAACTGCAAGCCCAAGAAGAAGAAGAACGCATTGCATGCTTTGTTTGCAGCTCCCCAGTCGCCGTCGTCACCAAGCCCACAAAGATTTCGAGCCCAAAGGACGCTCTGCCGACAGGACTAATCAAGTTGAAGTCAGAAGGAACCGGCTTCTCTGCTCGCGGCTCGCGTACCGTGGAAAAATCGAGCGTTGCTTTTCAATGCTAAGCGTAATTTGATTTACAATCTGAGCTCAAATACCCTTTGGTTTAGCCTTGTCGCCGTAGGGAAAGTATGTTGCTGAAATGCACTGAATTTCCCTGAAGCTCCTCTATGGAGCCATGCATTGTTCACGTAGTAGGCTCGGATACGTATTTGAATCAGCTAATGATGTAGCATCGCTTCGCGTGGAAGGATTTCAGTCGAGCTTCTTTACCAAAGCCGCCTAAGAAGATCTATATACTGTGCCATATTGAGCAACTGCTAGTCTAGGTGGCTAGTTTGAGCGAGGGCGATAATAGTTGATTGCTGCCAAAGATATTAGAGGACCAAGAGGCTAGAATGCCGCGTCTCATCGTCTATCGGCTCTCTTGGGCGCTTGCTCTTTGAGGACATTGTCAACCATGTTTCCGGCAAAGTGAAAACATGGACCAGTGCAGACAGAAGGCTGTTTGCTAGCTATGACGTTGAAATGCCATCCCAGGGATTACCTTGGATTTATACCCCGTGAGCTTCTATGGCCACTGTGATGCTGAATCGCCTCCAGATGAAGAGGTGAAGACTAGGTCATTGCGTCTCTGTTGCCGTGGCCAAGGATAAAGAGACTGCTGCTGCCTATTATAGGATTGCATCGTTGCTTTTGGAAGTAGCAAGCACATTTATGATAGCTGATAATTGTCACGGCCCCTTGTATAGAGAGAGGCATTATAGAACGCTATTCAATCACAGGTACATGTTGATTCAACCTTGCGCCTTGATCTGAACTCCGACTGAGTCGGTTTCTATTGGTGTACCTTGTATGGCTGCGTCCAATAAACTATCTATACAAAGAAGTGGATATACAATGGATAGAATAACTCTTCAAAAAGAAGAAGACAAGAAGACGCGGACGGCATAGTATGTACCCAATATCGGGCTGTGCCAACGCCAGTGCCGCTGAATATATAAAAAAAGAGTCATTTTAATCATCAAAACCCAATTCCTAGTCCGAGAGCCATTCCCTAAAATGGTATATACCCAAAAGGACGATTGAAAAAGAAAAAGAAACAAACAAAAGTTGAAAGGAGAGAAGCAGAAGAACACCTCACGCCTTGTCCATGCTCAGCCCGCCGCTGTAATCACAAAACCAAAAATAGGGGAAGAAAAAAAAAAAGGCTCAAATCTCTCTCAGCTCAGAGTCTCTTCAGAGTCTGCTTTCTATGCCCGACTCGCCACCGAGGCCTGCCTCTGTGGCGGCGCGGGCATGCCAAAACTGGCTTGTCTCGCTGACCCCGGAATAGACATGGACTCTACGTCAGGTTCACCAGGAGCGTCTTCATTATCCAACAGCCCGGGGTGCCCGGGGGGCAGTCTTTGGGCACCAAAGCCGGTGACCTTGAAAATGTTTGTGCGGCCTCCATTGGTGGCCATCTGTAGCTGCTCATGAAGCCTTGCAAGCTGGTACTGACGCTTGATGGGGGTGAAGATGGGCTGAGGGATCAGGGGCTGAGGGTTCCAGTGGGCCAAGGCGCTCATGACAGCGCCCGTCTCTTCATCAGAGTCCACTGGGCCATTGTTGGCGTCGTCGTCGTCCTCAAGAGGCGCGTTTGCATCCAATGCAGCTTCTGTAATATTGGTTAGCCCCTGAATGGATCTGTGGTCGGTGGCAGTGGGGGGACATACTCTGCTGCTTGGCTTGATTCTTCTTCTGATACGCAGCCAGAAGCATATCGTAAGGTAGAGATCGTCCCGATACGGCACGTTTTGCTCCCATAGAGTGGCTTTTACACGTTAAAGAACGAGCACACGGCTGGCCATTGGGTAGAATGACACCACATTGGCGTTCAACATCAACAGGTCCTGCATACGGAAAGAAGACGGGTCAGTAAACCTTTCTGGGAAAATGATGATTTTTTTTTCTTCTCGCGGCAACACACCTTTTGGCTTGGGCAGCTTGGCCTTTGGCTCGTCCTTCTTCTTCTTTGCCTTGGGTCCTTTGTCTGCATCGGCATCTGCTTTGCGCTTCTTGCTGACCTCTGGCTTCTTGCTCGCGGCCTTTTTGCCGGCCTTCTTGTCCTCTTCTGCATCGCTGTCTTCGTCTTTGACATCGGCGTTGTCGTCGTCGTTCTTCTTGGCCTCTTCCTCTCGGGCCGCCTCCTTGGCCCGCTCTCGAGCTTCTCGAGCCTCCTTCTTCCTCTGGGCCTTCTCTTTCTTCACCTTGAGGCACTGCGCAATATGGGCCTTTGCGGCCGTCTTCAAGATGCTCTTCTTGCAATGCTTGCACTGTTGGAGCTCGGGGTTGTCCTCCAGGGGCCGTCCGGTTGCAAAGGTCTCGCGGGATAAGTCATCTAGCTGGTTGACGACGGGCCCAGGAGATACCGGTACCGCGGGTGATGAGTTGTTTGTCTTTTTTTTCTCTTCTTGCAGAGCGTCAGCATCAGAATTCAGCCGTATTGGAGAAACAAAGAAAACAAAGAGAGAACAGGGCTGGGTGACATACCATCGACGACGCTGCCGTCCATCCAATTGCCCGGCTTGTTGTGCTTAGGAACCGACTTCTTGAGCTTTATTGTTGCATTTTTGGAGTCCTTTTTGGAAGCGACTTTGATGGTTTGGTCTGCGCCTAGAAGCATGAGCTGGACGAACTGTCAAATAAATGGTAAATGATGATATCGCATGCCCACCTTTGCGCGACTCTGCGTCTGGCGCCATGATTGCCGCTGCGCCGGGATGACGTCAGGAGGTGCAGTTTTCGGCCAAACGGCGAGGAGCACGGCAAGGAACGATTGTAACGGGTAGAGCAAGGCGCGACAGCAGTTTGGCGGCGTTAGATGTTGGGTATAAGTTGGGGATGGACAGTGACGGTCGCGAGGCTGATGTCCAAGCAACCCAACTTCACGTGTCTTGCCTGGGTGGAATGAGCGACGGCGGAAGCAACAACGATGTTCCGAAAGCTTCACGCAACAAGGCTCAGAGGTACCTAGTACGTACCCACTGATGCCGCAGGTACCTTTTTTGTGTAATTGAATCTAAGCTCAGTTGCCATTCATTTGCGCGTTATTGTCACTGGCAACAATATGTAATGGAGAAATAGATGTATTAAATCATTGTGCTACTGATTTATTGGACAATTTGAATAGAAACTGAACGCAGTGTGGTGTAACACCTACGTACATAAGCACATATGCACCTCGTCAAGTCAATGTCACTTTGCGGCACTACTTTAGTGAGAGGGTACCTACAGCATCAACTTTTACCCAAAATAGAGCACCCCATGGGGATTCGCAGCGACCCATTTCTTCATTCTCCGCTACTTCGCACAAGCATCAAGTCTAGCATCTAAACCGCAGAAACCAGAAACGCCCCGGTATATTCAAGAAACGTCAAACCAATCATTCTAGGGGGAGGGGTCCACCAGTTGTATGTATGTGTGCTGTAGGTGAAAGGGGGTATAATATGATATGATGATGATGACGATGTGATAATACGATAAAAATGTACTGGCCATTCATTACAAGAGCAAGGCCCGTCTTGGTCATGATCCCAAGGTTGGAATGTGGTATTCCCGCCATGCCTTGTATATGCGGTCTCTCATGGCCATGTGGCCAAGACTGCGCTATGGACAAAGAGTCAGCATCTTGTTTTGCTTCTGCAGATGACACACAGTAAAAATGATGAGAAACGGTGATGCTTACCGGATGAAAAGTCTTGCCGTAATATGTGGGCACATACCACATGGAATTCTCCGCCACGACCCGCCCGTCTGCCTTTCGCAGCGCTGCGTCTTTGCTAGCCGCCATGGCCATCATGCACAAGGCCATCTCCCCCCAGTCCCCGGATTTCTGCGCAGGTCCAATGCAGTTTGCCGGATCAACGAGTGGGGAGTCTGGAGGGAGCAGGGCGTCCGTTGCCCCGAGCACAGGCCGCTCCGAATTGTCCAGACCGCCGACGAGGAAGAACCACGTCTCATTCCTCGCATAGTCTGGCTCGACAACGCCCGGCTCGCAGAAGCGATGCCCCTCAAAGGCGTCGTCGTAGTCGACAAAGAGAACCCTGGGCTCTGCAAACGCCGCGTTGATGGCATCGACTGAGCGTCGGATCTTGTTGTTGACGTCGATAACCATGGTGTTCATGCGCTGTCGAAGCTCGCGCTTTAGCTTGGGTCCTCGCCACCACATGCCAAAGGAGTAGTCGTCGCACTCCTCGGTATCGGCGTTGAAGAAGCGGGCGTATCCAGTGACGGTGATGGTGAACCACGGCCGCTTCTCCCACCGAACGCGATCGAGAATCTCCATGATGACGAGCTTAAGGCGATGTTCAAACTCCGAGCTGGCCATTTGCTCGTCGGCGTGACGGAGAGCAGACTCGCAGGTACCAGAGTAGAAGCTGTAGAAGCGGAATATGCAGCTGTTCATGATTTCGAAAAAGCCCAGGTCGTTGCCGCCGATGGACAGGAGGGCAAAGTCGGCCGTCGAAGTCGTGTTGAATCCGTCAATCTGGCTGTGCTCCGCGCCAGCGAGCATATCGTTGACGGTAGAGCCCGTGCAGGAGAGGAACTGAAAGGTCGGGCCATCGCCTCCATCCAGACTGCGGCTGAGGTCGTCCTGTACTAGCATCGGGTAGGCATTATAGCCGTGGCGACAGTCATCTTCCGTGCCATTGAACAGACCAGTACCAATACCGGCCGAATACGAGTCGCCGAGGGCGATGAAGCCGGCCGGACGGTTTCCTGGTCGGCTGGGAAAGGGTGGTGCGTACGGAGCTTGGGGTCGAGAGGCGGTGGTGGGTGAATCTGCGATTGTTTGAAGGGCTAGGTTAGCAATAAGGCAGGGCAGGGCAGGGCACGCTATTGCCGTAGAGCACGTAAGGAATGGGGGATCAAGAGCGCTGTCGCACCTAAACGATGCTGTCCCAAGACAAGCTGTTCATTCTCCAAGCGTTGCTCGTATGGCTGGATGGCTAGGCAAAGGCCGCGGATCGGAGCCAGCGCCAGAGTCAGGATGAGCAGCCAGGTAGCGACGTCTGGGTGACGCCGCGTCATGCTGAGGGCAGGGAAGAACAGAAAGGATAAGTAGACAAAAGACAAAAGCAGATGAAGCAAAAGACAGATGGGCAGCTCAAGACATTTGGGCGCGGAGAGGTCGAGACGAAGGCTTCGGATTGCCCCGGCGTTGGGGGAGCCGGGGGGTGGTTGTCGCAACTCGTTGGGCCGGCGATGAGGCTGATGAAAGGATGTTTGAGTGAGTCTTTTTGGGTTCTACATGGCCCATCTATATACGTATATATACGGATAGATATAGTAAGTACCTTACTGTAGATTTGCAAACGCACCTAATTATTCACTGCCATCCTTTAACTTCCATCCTGTCATACATCAGTCTAGCACTTGGGCGACATCTGCCTGGACGCGCGACAGATAAGATAGCCTTCTTCCCAGGGTGTCGCTTTTGTTGGGCTCGCTCACGCTTATAGGCTGCGACCGCTCCATGTGCGGCGGCGGCGACCTCCTACTTGCTGCAGCGAGCCGCCCCTTGGCAGCTTGTCAATGCATTTAGTCGACGAGTTAGTACGAAGAGGTAGGTGGCTAGCCCGTTTGCGACGGCTCACGAGACGATGCGGGATTCCCAGGGTTTATGTATCCTTTTGCTTGTGCAAATGCAAAAATGCAAGATACCGGGCAAAAGAAGGGAAGCGTGATACTAGAGCACGGGTTATCTGCCAGGTACTTGCCAGGTACTTGCTGTCTGCTTGCATAACGCTGTGCAGACACTTTAATGGCACTAGTAGGTACTACCTAGGTAAGTGTAACAGTAACAGATGTCAAGTAAGAGATGCTCTCATATACTGCAAGGTACTTCCAACTTCGTCATGATGTGCATCGGCCCACATTCGCGATTCCCACATTCTTAAATCTGCCATCTCCATCAAGCCAAGTACCGACACGGAATCAACCAGAAACCCTGGAGCAAAACTGAGTTATATCCATCTACATCCTTGTACGCGTACCTACGTGTTGTTGGACCCTTATCTTACAGGGACCTAGACTACCTGCTACAAGTACTCGCAAAACCTCTCTACGTCATTCACGTGCTCCCCCCAGTGACCTCTCACATGTCCCACGCTTTCCCCACCAAAAAAGGGTGACAATCTCGATCCAAAACGAGAGCCTTGCGTCATCGCTCCTCTCAGCTGCCCAGCCCAGCATCCAAGCTTCAACAGAACAGCATGGAAAATGGCCTTGACCTTGGCTTTGTCAAAAATAGCAGCACCAGACAGGCAGCCCCTCTTTACGGAGTACTTCTGCTGCCTTATTCAACCAGCAGAGTAGATCTATTAGCTGTACAAGTTACATGCAGTACCCGAAATAAACTACAGCAAACTTGGCTGTGCGCCAATCCCCTCCGTCATTGCCGTCATAGGTGTCCATGTCTTCCCCCCCCAGCCTCGCTCTGTGCCATGGCTATTCAGCGAGTAGAACCCCCGACTGTTTCAGCTTGGAAATTGTGCTGTCCCTCTGGAAACTCGCTTCTCATGTCGACGTCAGAGGCGGGCTTGAACCCAATTGCCCTTATTAAAAGGCCACCTCTGGATCCTCTCCCAGTCCAAAGTGATTTCTGCCATACCAACTCCTTCAACCAACTATAAGTGATACCCATCCATCAATCGAAATATCCCACTACGTGACCTCTTCTTGTCTTTTCTGTCCTCTTTTCCCCCAAACCCCATAAATACGTAATTGTTTTCCGTTTACAAAATGGCTTCCGCCATCGAGACCATCAACCAACTCGCGAGTTCCGCCGCCAAAGCCGTTTGGGGCGACTCCAGCACCGAAGAAACCCACAAGGAGCCCATCTCGGGAGCTACTGGCGATGTTTCCAAGGGCGAGCCCTATGACGCCGGCAACTTGGGTATGATAGTAGCTATATGATACCACAACCCAAGTCCTGCAACCAATGACTAACGCAAAACGCTCCGTATAGATCCCAAGGAACAAAGCAAGGTCGAATCCAGCCTGAACGAGGAAGATGGACCTTCAGACCTAGACGAGGGCGAATACTACGCGCTTTCATCCTCCGCAAAGGACAAACCACTTCCCGAGACCCCTGAAAACCAGGAGCCCAGGGATAAATTCCAAGATAAACCTATGGACAAGCCTATGGACAAGCCTATGGACAAGCCTATGGACAAGCCTATGGACAAGCCTATGGACAAATCTATGGACAAGTCTATGGGCACGTCTATGGATAAGTCTATGGATAAGTCTATGGATAAGCCCATGGACACAGACACAAGCACAGACGCAAACCCCGAAGAAGGAAAACCCCTCGACAAGCTCACCGGCCCCGGCCCCCGACCCGTCGAAGTCCTCGCCAAAGAGAACGGTGGAAATGCCGCTGCCGCCGCCTCCAATGACGCCGTCACATCCCCCCAAGAGGACAAGAAGCCTGAACCTAGCTCTGAGCAGGATAACAACCAGCAGAGAGAAGCCACCGAGGAAGAGTACGTCAAGGCGACGGGGCTCGCGGCCGACGGCGGGGACTTTGATGCCGCGAAGCCTGGGGCTGGGCGAGAAGCTGATCGTATGTCCTTTTATCCCTTTTTCCTTTCTTTCTTCTCTTCTTTCTTTCTTCTTTGTCTAGAGACGGAGTGGACTTTTTACTGACAATTTGAATTTAAACAGGCTTGATGGAGCAAAAGGGCCTCAAGACAGACGACGACGATAACAAGGCCAGCAGCAGCACCGGCCGCAAGAGCTCAGATTCCGGCCGTCATAAGGACAAGCCGAGTCTGGGGGAGCGAATCAAGAACAAGCTGCACAGGCATTAACATGCCTTTGATTTCTGCCTCTTTTATTTATTTATTTATTTATTTATTTCCTTTTGTCAGTTTGTACCGAAGAGTACTTCCTTGTATCAATTATTTAATCTTTCCTGCGTGGGAACAAGGTGTATTTTGTATGATACTCATCTTTACTTGACTCGAAAAAGTGCTGCTTCTCACGCTTGAAAAAGATATATCCAATCAATATTTTACGTTTTCAAAAATTGCTCCATACTTGAATGCAAAGCCTCGTAGATTCGATTCCCAAACACTAATGCTAAACATCAAAAACAAGTATATACCATCATAAATAGCCGTGCCATATATATATGCAGTATAGATGTATATATATATATAAACGGGTATGATACTCCAAGTTTCCCAAATCGCCATTTGACATTTCCTCAATAGAAAAGGAGAAATCCATCCAACTCTAAATCAAGATGCCCAAAAATAAAAAAAATTGACAAAATGGGGTAGTGTTATGTTTTTTTTCTTTGCATCATGCGACCCAAGTCCTCTCAAAACCCTTAAACCAAGCCAAGCCAAACCCATCAGAGGCGCCAACGAGAATGCCAACACTTGCTTGCGAATCGTAATCACAAAAGTCATCAGAGGCGGCAAACCATGGTAATCCATGTGCTCTTCATGGTGCCGATGCGTGTCAACATCCAGTCATCCCCACGCTGGAGTCATTGGATGTCGATCGAAATCAGAAACCGAGACACCTTTCAACGCAACCAATCCATGATGCATTGTACCAGGGCGGTCCAGATTTGGCTGCATCTCTTCTTTCTTTCTTGTCCTTTTTTTTCCTTCCCTTCCAATTATCCCCCTCTTTTCGCGTCTCGAATTCCTGTAAAAAACGAAGAAATCCAACTTCTGCTGCGGTATAGTGCCAGACCATTGCTGCATGGCCTTTTCTCGTGGCCAGATCTTCCCCACTCTAGATCCTCCTGGTATCATTTCTCTGCTTTCATCCACCAAAATGCTGTGTGCTTCTCCTCTATACACTCCGCTTCTTCATTGTACAACACGCTAAGCATCGTTATATATAGGCCCAGTTTGCTGACTGTTTCAAACATTATCAGAAAATCAGGGCTCCGGTGCTCAGGGGCGAGTATTTCACAAAAAGCCAGATTCAGCAAGAACTCTGTATCATACACTTGATTAGCCAACGTGAAAGGGCAGGCCGAGGGAAAGTTTTGCTTTGCTTTGCTTTGCTTTGCTTTACTTACCTGACAATCTTCTCATCTTCACGCTCGCGTGGTTCAATCTGCAAACTCTTGTCGTACATCTCATGTACATCTCCTGCAGCTTGCATGTTGCTCACTATGTAATCCTGCAGCTCAGGGACTGGTTGCAGGGAGTATCCCACATTCTGGTACTGCTGGATGTCGCGGATGACCTCAGCTGTCTTTGCTCTCTTGGCAAAGTTGATCAGATTGGTCTTCTTGATCACCGAGGGTATACCGTCCTCAATAAAGGTAAGATCGGTCAAATAAACACCTGTGTTCTCCTGTTAAAACTGCCATTCCTCCACTATGAGATCGCTCAATAGTCCCTACTCACCAAAGAAGGGGATGCATGGCGGATTGGCGACGTGAAGGGCCTCACGATACTCGCCAAAGTTCTTGGTGCTGGCCATAAGTCGACGCATCGTTTCTAGAACGGCGCTGGTTCGCTGAGGGACTTGATCCCAGGTTCGCTTCAGACGGGCAATAGGCGCCGTGCCCAATGCTGAGATAATGGATGTCAACGTGGAGAAGTTGTTGAGACCTCGGCATTTCTAGTAGAAACTGTGTTAGCACCGTCTTTGTTTTCCCTTGCTTCTTCTTTTCAAAACAGAACTGTTAGAATCCGCAAACATACATCAGCAACAGCAACAAAGTGCTTAATCACCACAACTCGCTTCTTGACATCCATCTGGTTCAGAATCATTTCCGCCACCCAGTTAGTCATCTGGTTAGAGTGCAGAATCAAAGCCTTGACGTTCGGAGCTGCGTCAGGGTCGCCATCCGCAACCTTCTTCTGCCACGTCTTATTCAAGCACTCAGTGGCCTTGATCTTGGAGTACAGGCGAGATTCGATAATTGTCAGTTGGCGAGCAAACTCTGTCACGTCAATATCCAAGAACTTGAGCTTTCTCATGTTCTTTGGAATAATGGGCGTTGGGGTGCTCTGGTTCAGGGTCTGAATCATGCGTCTGGCACCGGCCTCCTTGCCGCTGAGCCTCTGGTCAAGGATGGCCATCAGCGGCCCCGAGCCTGGTGTCTCAGTCGACTTGACAGTGTCTCTCGCAAACGTATACACGTCGCGAATCAGAGTCTTGGACTCATCATTGAACTCTTCCATCCAGAAACTGTCGAACCAACTCTTGAGGATATTGACCACTCTGAATCGGATGAGCTTCTGCTTGCGGTCCCGCCACAACTCATAGTCTTGCTGGGTAAGGCCCTCCGGAGGCTGTATGCCGAACCGCTGAACCAGCATCTCAAAGAGCTCACGTGCCGAGGTGAAGGACCGATAAGTCAAGAGGAAGGTGTTGTTAAAACTTGAATCAAGTTTATCATGGCGCGTGAGCTGCTCGACCAGGGCTAGAAGGGATCCTCCCTTTACCGTGGGTGTGGTTGCCTTTGCATCCCAAGATAGATCGTTCTCGTAATCCAGGAGCAGGAACTCGGGCGTATCCTCATCCGGCTGAAGCTGTGGTGACGGGTCTTCTCCAAAGATCTTCTTGACCTTGGAATAGTCGCCCTTTCTGGAGAATCCGGGGGGAGCATCGCCCTCGGAGTACGATTGGGTGGTGATGAGCGGCGGCCGAACTGGCGCCGTCCTCGAGTCCGATCGTTGATGCGGCCTGTCGTAAGGCATAGTCTCTCCTCGCTGGAGCTGGCCCCTCGGTGGTTGACGGGCCTTTGCCTGCTGCTGCTGCATGTTGATCAAGACCTGCTCCGAGAGCAGTTGTAGCGAGAACCCAGTGTGTGACGAGTTCGTCTCGAGGGCTCTCGCGCATTGGCGAACATAGTCGAGTCGGCTCTCAAGAGGCTCTCCCCGCACTTCTGACCATTCGTCCGCCAAAGGTCCGGCGACGGCTTGGCAGCTTAGCATGAGGTCGGCGATGTTGTCGTACAGAGATTGCTTATTGATGCTAAAGTCTTCCAGCTGCGGCGTCTGGAATGTATTGCCCAAAGACGATAGGTCGACGGACTCAATCATGGCAATCCACGGCCTAAACGTCTCGACAACCTTTCCACCGGCAAAACAGACATTGTTGGCAATGATCTCGTGTCTTTGAGGTGCTATGATCTTTTCAGGGGCCGTCAGGTTCTTTTCTAGCTCGCGAATGCTGGACACGAGCATTCTCTTGTGCTCGTCCAATCTCTCGAGCAGGTTACCATCAAGGACCGCGGTGGGTTCGGTGATGCCCTCCTCATCGTCCAGGAAGTTGGGGGACATCAAATCGTGGTAATCTAGCCCGTTGCTCTGCCAGCTTCCGCCCGAGGTGCTACCAATGACGAAGCCGGGGAAAAGCCGGGGGATATCCTCTCCCCTCTGTTGTCTGGCGACTTCGACATAGCTGAATACACCAAGCAAAACGCCATCGGCCTCTTGGAGACACTTTTGTACCGATTCCGCGTTGGGCCAATCGGCGGCTGCAATGTGAGAAGAAATAACCAGTTTCGAAAACTTGGACATCATGTCTCGGAAGTGAGGGTAGAGCGCCTTGTTGGTGGAGATGATGGAAGGCTGGCCAGAATGGTTATCCGTCGTCCCTGAGCCGGCAGCAAGAAGTAGTCTGAGGTGATCGGAAATATCTTCGGCTCTGGCAACGTATTCGGAGCGGGCGTTGTTGGTGACGGCCTCACGATATCGGTCGATGGCGCGCTTCATGTTGGTGACTAGGAGACTCCAGGTAAGGGGTGGCGTGGATCCATCATCGAAGAAAGACTTGGGCACGCTGGTGGTAGCTGGCACGTTGTATGTGGTGCTGGTGAAGGAGGTGGCGGATGCGATGTTTGGTGGCTGACTGGTGTTGGCAAATCCGAGGCCGAATGCATCGCTTCTCTTCCGCCGGGCAGGAGAAGTGCCGTTCATCGAGTCCATGGACGTTGATGGGGATAGGGCGGCACTAAACGAGCCTCGAATGCGAGGCTGAGAAAAAAGAATTAGTTCCAAGTATCTTCCTTTTGTGTCTCTTTGTTATCAACTAGACAGATATGCTTACCATGGATCCCCTGGACGCGAGCATTAGAGATTCGCCTTCGGCCTCTGAAGCTGAAGTCGCCGAGTCATCATCTTCATCCTGGGTCAGCCCACGCGCCATCATTTCGGGCGGCGGCCGTGTCTTCTCGGGCATTGCGACGTTCATGCGATCCCTAGGACCCGTTTCGGCGGAGGATACGGGCGATTCGAGCGGCAGCTCCATGCTGCGATCGCCCGTCATCATGTTGTAGTAGAAGAGGCGGCCATCGGGGGTAGCCTGCGGGATCCAAAAGTCGGCGCGAGACTTGTCGCCGCCCATGTCGGTGCCTTCGAGCGGCAGGCTGCCAAAGCCTTCGCCCTCGGAATCCTCATCCTGGTCGGCGCTGTCTTCGTAGAGTTCGTTTTCTTCCATGTCGTCCTCCATGTGGTGGTTGGCATGGCCGTTTTGGCCCACGTCGGGAAACTCGTCGGGGCTGGTGATGGCCTGGCAATAGTTGCTGGGGAACCAGCCGCGGACTCCATTGATGACGCCGTCCCACCAGCCGCTCTCGAGCTGGGTGATGACCTGGATGACATCGCCCTCGTGGAAGCTGAGACTGGTCCTGTCGTCGGCCTCGTAGTCGTAGAGGGCACGGACATACATGCTGCCGGGCGGCGCAGTTCCCACGACGCCGTCCATGGTTTTGGCGCGCGCGTGTGGGGGAGAGCAAGAGAGGGGGAAAGGAGAAGTTGGGGGAGATATGGAGAGAGAGGCGCGCGAGACAGAGTCGGAGGGCTGAGACAGCGACAACGGCCCAAAGGCAATGGCCGGGATGGGCGAGATGGCGATCGAGTCACGATTGCGCTCGAGGCCGCGGAGGATCTGTGCCAGCAGAGAGCAAGTCGGGTCGGATCAGGGTGAGATGGCGACAAAATCACCGCAGGGCATGGTCCGCGAGTCAGCCTTGTTGCAAGCCGAGGGCGGCGCGCGCTGGGCCGATACCAATGCCAATGAGCATGCCACCAATGGTGCAGGCGGGAAGCAGGCGAGACGTGCTCGATGGGCCGGAGAGGACAAGCAGACGCTTGGGGGAAAGGGGAGGCTATCGTCGACTGCAGTTTCGTGTGGCGGCAATTGGGGTGGTGGCCTTGCTGTGTTTCCACGTCTGCTTCTGCTTCTGCGGCGCTGCAGAAAGGGCACGCTTGCTGCTAGGCCGTACTGGGCACTGGGGGGGCTTTAGGCGAGACAGAGCACTGATGGAGGTGCTGTATCGTATCTTCCCATGTGCTACTAGGCGGTAGTAGTGCCCACTTCTAGTCTACAATGGATCGCTTCTGGCAGTGTTAGCGAAGTACCAAGGTATTGATGTGTTTGACACTTTGTACCAGCGACAGAGGCGCCAGTTGCCACTTACAGCAACCCCACGCGCCCAAACGCCCTCAATCCGACCTTTTTGCTGGGGACTCGACGCACCTGAAGCATGCCGTCGATCGCCCAGACAAACGTGGAAGCACAGGCTCAACAGGCACGAACAACGCGCGACATCAGGTCGGCGGCATGTACTCCATACTCCGTACGAGTACATTGGATTGGCCATGTCTGGTACCAGCCACAGGCCCCAAAAATGAGACGAAAAGCCCCGTTCGCCATGCTCCGTCGCTCCAGCCTAGCGCCATGCACGCGGCCAGGTACAACTACCCCGTGCAGCAACACACGGCAGGCCACATGCCCCGTACCCGGTACTTGCGCGCGCTCGAACTGCTGGCTGGCCACTAAGCAGCTAAGCAGAAGCGCCGCCTATCTGCTGCACCTCCTGAGCCGCCGTTGAAACCTCGCAGCACCCAATCCATGTGTTTGGCTGGTACTCGTACATCGGCGAATATCGTGCCAACAATTTCCAATGCATCAATCCAGCTAGACGGACCCACGACGCGTCGGAGCTTGTCCATGATTGGAGATTTGCTCTCGAGAAATGGACAAGCAGGGAATTTCTCGAACGTGAATGGAACAGAGAAGCGTATCTAGACTACTGTACGTTACAGTTGCATGAGATCCATATGATAACACTGAATGCTACGTGAAAGGGCATCGATACATGTACGTGTATCAGATCCTTCAGACAAGTTCAAATGACGCACAGACAGCTACATGCCCATGTGCTTGTAAGACATCGATACCCGTCGACTTGATTGCCCAGAATGGAAGAACGCTTGATTATTCTGTCTCTTGCAATAGCTCTCATCTCATAAATACGGACAGCAAGCATATGAGCACTTCTCCTCCTCCAATCTCCCCACCTCGTGCCCTTTAACGACGTGCTTGTCACATTGCACCCCACGTTTGGCCACCTTGCCAGTTATCCTGAAGCCCGAGAGAAAAGCGAGAGCCCACGAGGCCGGGTACAGATTTGTATGTATTGGAGGAGGGCTTGTGAGGTTTGTCCTCTTGTTGCGTATCCGGTATTAATGCAACTGTGAGCTACTATGATGGCAAAAAAACGTTGGTCATGTCACTTCCATTGCAACCTACCTTACCTACGAATACAATCTTGTTGGTAGCACGGAGCACGGAGCAGCGGGAACACAGCTATCTCTACTCCGTACCAGGGATGACTCGGCCCTCAAATCTTGGAGCGACGGCATCCACGTACAGTACAGCCACGACAGCTGGTGGGCAGGCAATGTAATCCTCCCACGCAGCCCAAAAACACCACAATGGAACCAAGCGGAGACTCCTGAGCTGAGAGCCCAGGCCGGCAGCATCAAAAGAACAACCCAATTCATGTACTCATACACATGGCCCCGATTGTTGGCCTCTTCATACCGCCTCTTTGACCTGGGCAAGAGGCCGCCTTTTTCTCCCCCTTCGCATGAATAAACGCTAGCTCTAAATCCACCAAAGGGAACAGCCAACGCATCAGCAAAAACTCGGTAATGAAGTCGGGCGCGCAGACTTCGGAGGAGTCCGCCGAAAGCTGAAGGAGGCTCGAATCGCAAGCTGCAAATTTTGCTGTGAATGGGGCCCGCGTTCCAGATAGAAAGTCCCAAACCAAACCAAAGAAGCACGAGCACCAAACCCAGCAAAAGCAGCATCCCGCCACTAAGAAGAAAGGAAGAAGAAGAAAAAAATTGCAGCTGCATGTGCCAAGTTCGCCAGACAAGGCGGAAAGCTGCGTCAAACGTCGTTCCCGGAACCAACCAACCGGCCGCTACTTGTACTAGCAGCAGAGCTAAGGTCAGTAGCAGCAGTAGCAGCAGCAGCATCCAGCATCCAGCAAATGAGTCTTTCTCGTGTCCACGATAATTGCGCCGCCCATGGCAACCAAGGACTCGCGGATGGATTCTAGAAAGTGGATGTGCCAATTTGCTCCAGGGGGTGAAAGGAGGCCCTCGCCTTCTGACAGACAGCGCAAGTACCGCTACCAGTAAGACCACGTGGGGCTGCCACCCGGAGCGGCCAGCCTCTACTTCTCTAGGTCCCGGAAGCTTGCCCCGGACCCGCTTGACGAACCAGGTACATGTTGCCTCTAGCCTACAGGAGCTGTTGGGTGTACAGTGTGGAGAGTGAGAAGGATTGCTTGTGGAGGACGCTGGATGCGGGATGCTGGCACTGTGCGGCAAGGGCAACTTTAATTTGCACTGCTTCGTCCTACAAGGGTCATGTCATCTCATCCCACTTGTACTCGTACTTACCGTGCTGCGTGCTAACTGTAGGTATACGCGGAAACGGTGCGCACTCGGCTCAAACGGTTGCTGGGCAAAAGGTCGGAGACGGAAGAGGTGGGCTTGTGCAATTTGTGCATGTTTCAGTCTCCGTTTCCCGCGTTGGCTGCTCGGCGAGGTACTTGTGCCGCGGAGGAGGGGTGTTGATAAGCGTGCATGCTCGCGGCAGCTCGTACTGTGTCGCCAGAGACGCGCCGGCATCGTGTACATGTCGGCCAGAGATGCTGCCGCTGACCCCGATACGAGTATGGCAGTTGAGCTCCGGAAATAGGGGTCTGGTCGCGTTCTCTCTGCCGCCTTACGGCACCTTACGGCACCTTACGGAAATAGGGAGCTGCTTGTACGAGTAGTGTACTGTACCATTGAGTGATTGATGTGCTGCCCGCCACGTTTGATGCATGCTATTTGGCAGAGGCACACCGCTGGAGCTGCTTCTACTTTGAGTTACAGCGTTTTCACACATCAGCAAGGTGATGTTGCATGCTGCAAAATGGACGATCATCCCAACATATAGTACGGAGTAGATACCCACCTACTGCACCTACCAATGTACGAGTACGAGAGGGATAAATTAACTCTCTCTGCAGCAGCGTTGACGAGAGACACCCAATGAATGTTTCAATACTCCCGATGTCCTTACAAACAACCAGAGTATGGGGTAAACGGAGAAAAAGTCTGGAGATCCCCTCATCATACAAGCACCAGAACCCATTCGCTACGTCCACCCGGTGCCGTACCTACTATATGGAGCACCGTCACAATCTACCGAAGCAGCGGTTCAGGGTTCCGATATGTTGCTTTTTTTAGTGCTGCGCGTGTCAACTTGTGCAAGGACAGCAGTTGGGAATCTGAGGCCGTGCCCACTCGACTCCGTAATTCCATCTGATCTGGAGACATGAGATGATGCCCTCCAGCAGGCAAGATACAAGATAACAAGACCATGTCTTGGTCAGCTTCTGTTGTAGTATTATATGCACCCCACGCTGTCCGAGAGCTGACTAGAGCCGCCGCCGCCGCGCTGCGGGTTGACGGAGCGGGAGATGCAGCCACGAGAGGAACAAAAGAGACCAGACAGTAATCGTACAAGTAAGAGCGCGATCTACAGACAAGGTACAGCCAGGTACGCATGTCCGAGTAGCGCGGCGTACTCGCATATCCAAGTGCCTCGGTGGAATTCGCATGATTGCACAGCCAATGCACGCTTACCTGTACGTGTACGAGTAATCTCAATCTCAATGGCCGATTTCTAATAATATGTGCTCGGCCTTGGAAATTGGTGCCCATTACTAGCAACTTCGCCGCTTGGGAGGCGCGCCAACGAATGGGCTCGTATACACCAGTCATTCAAGCACCTGAAACGGCCTCTCGCCGTGACTAAGACATTCTACCTGCACGACGGCTGAGTGGCGGTCTACTGCAGTGTGGCCGACAGGTATTGGATGACCTCTTTCCCATCACCGCCAGTCTGGCTGATTTGAACCCATGATGGTCAAACGAGGACAGGTAACGGTACATGCATGCACGCATCTGCATGGCCCCCTGTCTGGCTTCTTGTACGGAGTAGTAGCAGAGCTGATTTTCCCGTACAGACGTACTTGGTCTAAGCACGGAACCCGGAGAGAAGTGCCCACGGAATGGAAGAAGGGGGTCTAGTTTCAACGCTGGCCCTGTCTCCTTTATGCACGAGAATGCATTCATGTGCCTTAGCACGAGTAGCGTGTACAGGTACGTGGACGAGTGCAGGCATCTGGGAATGTGTCCATCTCCACTACTGGAAAAGTACTTCCCAGAGTGGTAGACACCGACTGTTGGACAGTACCTGTCAGGCAGGATTGCATCGCATTGTCTCATCCAGAGAGCCCATCAGCACTTGGCGCCAGCAATCTCACACTTGCATTCGAGGTACCTGTCGGGTAGCCATGAGAACATCCCCTGCAATGGACGCTGCCCGTAACTTTTGCTTGGTACAGATACTTGCAGACCTTGCAAGCATGCATCCATCTATTCATGCTTGAGCCGGGCGCTTCTAGAAGGTGATTTGTGAGATCGAACCGATTGCTTTGCGCCTTGACCGCGAGTCATTGGCACAGCATACAGGCTTAGGAGAGCATCGCCTTTCCAATGGCTACTGTAGAGCCAGCTGAAGAAGAAGGCGACGGCGAGATGACACACATCTCGATGTATAAATCGCGTCGAGGCTGGCAGTGACAATAACCATGACCAGACTGTGCTCAATGAGCGGTGTGCAACGGCTAATACAGTGCGATGCATTGTTACCAAGATGGAAGTTGGTTACTCCCAAGGTCGCCGTGTTCCCAAGACTCGGCCAAGTCGTGGCCTCGGTACTCCGTTCTCAGCTCCTAAGTTCGGACATGGCGCCCGCGGTGGGTTGGAGTGGATCGCCAGATGCAAGACCGGCCTCTTGTGATGATGAGAACCCAGCTCCGATGCGATGGAGGCGGGATCGCGGAGACCGACCAGGTGCTCATTGTCTCTCTTCGCTCCATCATGACGCGCG